ATATATAGGTAATTTAATCAATTTAAAATTATTTGAATTGAAATAATTTACCGATTTGCTATTACACTGGTACAATATTTCCACGGCAAATTAGAATTTCACATGAATTTTTTTTATTTACAATTATTGCAGTAAATAAATTCACATTAATATGAAAATTTCACGTTAAAATCTTTCTAATATTACAAAATTTACACATACACATTTATTTGTAAATATCTATAATATACAGTCGGACACAAATATGTACACCATATGACATAAACGAGCTTTACACATTTAAATATGCATGTAAATTATTTAAGCGGAAATTAATGTAAACAAAAACTTAAATTTATTGTTTCTTTTAAGCGAATTTTGATTTTAAGCGTTTTATTTATATATGTGTTAGACTGTATATATATGCAATATGTATGATGTATTAAAGAACGCAATATAACAAAGGAAAAATTTTTATATAAAAAATTAATATTTAAAATGCGTAATAAATAAATGATTAATAAATTGTGTACATTATTGTATTGTATATAACATTTCAAATAGGTATAACAATATATAAGTTTATATGTATCTACAATCTTTTATATACAAACATACATTTGCATATTTTTATGTTAAATAAACATTTTTTTCAAAATTTTGTACAATTGAATTTAATATTTACAGAAAATATTTTACTTTACGAATATTAAAAGCGCAAATTTTAAATTGCAAAATATCTATTGTGAATTAGGTATATTTAATTCTTGTTTTATTTTAAAGTCACAATATTTTCTCTCTATAAATATTATATTTTATACTGAACAATATTCTTAAATATGTACATAAAATATAGCTATTAAAATATAAATGTTTACACATATAAGTATACACACATCTATATATAACACCTATGTATATATATGTAGATTTTAATATTTATATATACCAATATAATGTATACATACTGCATTTTTTTTCTTTTCTTTTCTTTCTATTTAGTAATATGAAAAACTTTTCTCAAAACTTTTTATATTCGTTTGTGTGTGTGTGTATTTGAATGTGTATACTTTATACCTAGTATTCTACTGGTTTACTCAATCCGATTCTTTAACCCTAATATTCTAAATACATACATTTTCGATTTTCTTTTTTTTTTTGTTCTCTACAATATAATTTAAGATTTTGGTTTTGGTTTATTTTATCATTTTATTTTTCTTATCGTTTTTTTTTTTTTTTGAAAATCCTACATTTTACTGATTTCGTTTTTCATCATTATATATTCTCTCTTTGTTTATATTTCATTTTTAGAGAAAAAACAAACTATATGGTTATGAAATATTGTACTATGGTGTATACCTACTTGTGGTGAGTTGTTACTCTTTTGAATATTATACGACGAACAAAAAATAAAAACAATAAAGGAATAAAAGGATAACAATGATAAAAAGAGGAAGGAAGAAAACCGCTCTCTCATTGTTTATAAAAAGAAAATGTAACAAAACAAAAAAAAGAAAAACAAGAAATGAAAACAATTTTATGCACAAAGAAAATTTATTTTTGTATTTTTTTTAATTTTTGCTCGTTCTTTTTTTCTCATTTTCTCAGTGGAAATAGCAGAAATTAAGAGAAAGATGAAAAAAAAAATTTTTGTTATTTTAAACATTGTAATTGCTTTTTAGAAAAATATCGTAAATATAGATATGTTATGCATTTACAGGACATTAATGCTTGTATGTACATAATTTTTGTTATATATAGTCTTATTATGTTATACATATTAAAATTTATATATAATATAAGCAAGTATACCTAAAATTCAATTTGTTATTATACGAGTACATAAAATATATATATATTTTGTTTGTGTATATATATACGTGTATATATATATGTATAGATATTTTTGATTAAATTCAGCCATGACCAAAATAAAAAGAAGAAAATTCTCTTATGTATATATTTTTGTAATTATAGTTATATATAATGATATATATAGTATATAAGTTATATTATGTTATATAAATGTTTCATATATATTATACAATAATCATATGTTCATTTGAACAGTAATGATACAAACCCTAATAAAAAACCGTTATATTTCAATTTTAAACTTAAATTGAAACTAAATTTTCTCTCTTTTGATTTTAATCAAAATCATTATAATTATTATTATCATCATTATTATTATCATCATAATATCAATATATCATTTATTATACCGCATAATATGTGTCGGGAATAATTAAGTATAAGTAAATTGTTAATTCCGCAATTTAAGGTACATACATTTTAGGATACATTCCCATAATCACAAACATACATATATACATATGTGTATATATGTACTACAGAAATATGTACATATAAGACAAAAAGTATAGAGACTAACTAAACGAAAAACATTTTGAATAACATTAAATTTTTTAAAGAGAAGAGAGGGAGAAAAAAAAACAGGAACAAGAAAAAAAAAATTCTTCCTGTATATTTATAAAAAAATATAAATTTCTCAGGTTTCTTTTTTTCTTCTTTTTACATAATATTCTAAATTTTTTATATATCTACATTTTATATTGTTTAATTATGTATATATAAATATAAGTATATGTATATATTTTTTTATAAATAAGTGAACATTAAATTTAGTTAAGCGTTATATTCGTTTATTATATAAGTATACACGTAGAAAATGAAACAAAAAGTGTTCATTAAAAATAAAAACAAAGAACACAAAAATATATATAAAAAAAATACCCTATAATAGCCGTTTAACTCTTTTGAAACTTAATAATAATAAAATAAAATGGCTAATACAATTTAATATTAAATTACAGACTTTATACACAAAGTATATTTTACCGCCTATATACACACATATGTGTAAGAATGAGTAAATGATATTGTATATAAATATGTATGTAAGTATATATAAATAAATAAATAAATAACAAATTTTAATGGATTTTTTTATTGGTTCCTTCTTTGTTAAAATTTACACACAAAACAAAAAATTATAAAATTTTTTATTTTTAAATTTTTAAAATATTTTTGAATGAAATTTTTTGTTTAAAATGAATTTGACATAGGGAAAAAAAAGTATCCAAAAGGATATTTGAAAAAGAATCAATTAAAAAATTGGTTTTATTTTTTCATTTATAATTTATTCAATGCTTGTGGTCTCAATATTGAAAATATTCTTCAATTTTCCCTACTCATAATTTAATAATTTTTAAGAATAAAATCATTAAATGCGAAAATTAAGAAATACGCAATTTTCGGGCGAAAAAAAAATTTTTTTTTTCTTTTATGATTTTGTTTCTTATTATTTGGCAACAGGATGTATAAGTAGTAGATTTTTATATATATAAATATATCCTTACATCTTATATTGTAAATTTAGCAATACATAGAAAATAAATACAAAATATAAATACAGTAATAGAATAATTAATTTTTATACTGAAATATAAATTTATTTAATAATAATGAAATAAAATTTATGTTTTTAATAATTTCATAAATAAAGCAAGAAAATTGAAATTGGTAATGCAGAATAGAATATTTCCATATGCTACAAACACTCACTAAATATAACAATAACTCCTGTATATTTATCGAATTATTCATTAAACAATTAATTTGCAATTAAGTCTTATATTAAATTAATTTTGCGTTTAATGGTGATTTCACACTGTATTTATAATAATAATATGAGAAATTTCCAATTTAAAATATATATATATATACTAGTATAGTATTTAAATCAAATATTCTACATAACCTAAAATCAATTGAAATATCGTAAATTAATTTATAGTTTTGTTACCTCAGCCAAAATTCCTATTTGTTTATAATGAAAAAAATTAGATGCAATTTAAATCTTATTAATGCGAGCCCTTGATACTGAACTTTTTTTGATATTATTTTCTCTAAATTGGGACTTCATTTCTTTGATTTTTGTATAATTCAAATTAAAAAATGAATACCAAAAGTAATTTAAAAATTGTAATTGTAAAAATGAACGAATTTTGACTGGTCGCAGTTTTGAAAAAATCTAGCGGTATTGTGGGTATAACAAATGTGTATAACACTTATAAAAAAACAATATAAAAACATTACAAATAATTAATAAAATATAAAAACAATGAATTTCTTTTGGATTCAAGATTAAAAAAGATTAAAAAAGATTAAAGATTAAAAAATATAAGCGAATAGGGTCGAGTCGGCCTATCCTCTTTATAATTATTTTTCCTTTTATAAAGTTCTTGTTCACTTTTGATAATAACAAATCCTTTTTATATAATTATGCAGTGTTTTGGCTTTCTTAATTAATTTACATTGAATGCTTAGCATAAATTTATCAATTATTTATTATAAAACAATAACAGAATTTATATATATTTATATATTATATATATATAATATATTTATATCAAAATATATGTGTATATATATGCACTTAAAAATATTGTATATTAAAATATGACCTTTAATTAATCTTGAAGAATTTCTTTTATCCTTCACATAATTTTACGACCACTATTGTATATGAAATGTATAAGAACATTATATATACATAAAAAAATATGAAAAGAATATATATACATACTTTTTATATACATACGCACATACGCCAAAATATGTACATATATTTCTTATATAATTTGTTTTTACTTGTTATTTTTTTTCCCTTTATCAAACAGTTTGCAAATAAATTGATTGCTACTTATTTATGTACAATATGTACGTATGTATGTATATAGAGAAATTATTTGAAGTTGAAATTTTACAACCCCCATCTTTCTAATAAGAAGTTCGGTTTGTTCTTTTCTTTTTTTTTTTTCGTTAATAAATTTTATACTTTCCGAAAATTTAATAATGTAAATTATGAGGGTTAAAAATATTTTATTAATAATTTTTTTACACAATAGATTTCTTTTTTCCTTATATTTTTATTGTAATATTTAAAATTTGGACATTATTTAAAATAAAATTGTAAGTATATTTTTAATTTTTACATTTTTTTCAACATTTTTTCTTTTCTATATTTTTTACACATAGTACTTATGTACCAGCATTATTATACATTTTATGCATATATAAACACAATTTTATTAATATTTTATTATTTTCTTGTTTTCCGTACCGTTAACAAACGTTAGACTTCGTCAAAGGTAAAACTGATACTGATTTTCTATAGTAGAGAAAAAGAGATCAAGAAATAATAAAGCAAAAGAACAGAAAAAAAAAGAAAAAAAAAAACAAAAAAAATTATAAAAATAAAAAGAAAAATATTCATTTACCACTGTACTGTAACGTACTGTACTGTACTATACAATACCGTTACCTTACCCATCATACTGAATTACTTACGTTACGGTTACCTTCGTCAAAACTCACAGTCGTTTGACCGTCGTCAATATCGTAAAAAAAAAATAGAAAAAAAAGGCATTCTTCTCATTTTACTCTCAAAATCTGATTAACAAATTTTTATAGAGAATTTTTAATACAAAACAATATAACACAAATATATAATAGTAAATTATTGTTTTGGATATACATATATACACATCAAATATATTATGTTTCATAAAGGCAAAATAAAACAAAAAAATATACAAATAGTAGGTGTATTAGTTGAGAAGAATATTTTGTTATGCTTATAAGAGTTTTACAAGGATGTATCGTAAATTTATATGCATAGTAAGATAGACGGTGAAATATAATTAAAAATACTTATATATATACATACTTTTGTAGTAAGAAATGGTATCTCTTTTGTGAAAATTGTATACTATAACATTAAGGTGGGTCTGTATGGATTTGAGCCTGTAGAAGTTCGAAAAATTTAACAGAAAAACTAGGAACCAAATAACTTTATAATCTGTGAAATTAATGGTTTAATTGACTGACTTCGGACACTAATCGTGCATTTAAATAATGCTATGTAATTTACTCTTTACTCAACGTCAACACCCAGTTTCTATTTTTTTTTACCCTTAACTGTTATTCTTCTCCGTTCTCATTTTTATATAAGAATAAAAAATAATAATAATTCTCATTTTATATTTTAATTTATTCTCCATTTTTCTCATTCTCTCTTCATATACTATACTTCTCCAGTACTGATAGCACAGTACAGTACACATATTTAATTTTTTTCTTTTTGTAGAGCAGAGCAAATTTAAAGTTTTTCTTTATTTATTCCTATGCTGTGTAATTTTTTTTTATTTTGAAAATTTTAGGTTTATTTTTATTAATTTCTTTTTTCTTTTAATTTTATTTTTGCTTCTTCCATATATTTTCACTTTATATTGTATGTGTTTATGTGTATATGTATGTAAATACGAAAGCGCGACCTTCACGAGAGAAAATTTTAGTTAAGATTTTATGAAAACTCCGAGATACGGATGGATATTGGATGATGCGCAAAAAGAAAAAAAGAAAATCAAAAAAGAAAAATATTCTGTATGTACCGCAAATATAAAATAACTATGTATGTATTTATGTATACATATAAATAAAAATATATATTTTTTTGTGTATGTACACAAAATATGCATATTTTACTGTACTCTTACTGTATATACATGCATGGATATAGGAGCAAAATTTTGTTTCTTCTTGTAAAAGGAAAAACAAATTTTAAAGAAAAGAGAAAAGAAATCCGAAACTACCCTATACGGCTATACTACATAACCCCTAATTCGAGTCGCAAATTATCTATTTTACGGTATGGTATGTAGAAGTATGAGAAATTAATAAAAACATATGGAATGCGATTCAATTTAATTTTTACAAAAAAAAATTATGTTATATGTATGTACCAATATACCAAATACCGTTATCTATTCTTATGTTACATAAATACTTATGTCAAATTAAATAGGTACACAATATATATATACATTATATCCAAATATATTTCTATGCAAACATTGTAATATGCCTACCTATGTACGCAGATGTAATATGAAAAGTGTTCGCCGTAATGCTTCTCATATATTTATTTGTTTTTTTTTTTTTACCTAACCTTATATAAGTACATATTAATTTATTTTTTTGCTAAAATTACGGTTATTGTGACAAAAGTTCATTTCACATAAATTATTATACATACATAAACACATATACAATAATGTTTTGCATAAATGGAAAATAAGTAGAAACTATAATAAGAACCGTACTTAAGAGAAACTATGGTTACTAACGAAAAAAAAAAATAATTAAGAATAGAAAACTAAAACCCATAGACACGTAGAATTCCTTTATTTTATTTTAACATTTTAATTATTTTATGTAACATGCATATATAGATAAAAGTAACTTTTAATATAATATGAATAAATGTACAAAATGTAAAAAAAATAATAATAAACAAATAATTTATGTTAATGAATTTTTTATGTTGTTTTTCTTTTTTTCTATTTATTAATATCAAAATTTTTATGGTAAGGTAAAAATATGTAGTTGGTAGTACATATATTAATTTAATATTTTGTCATTTAAAGAATATTGACATTATTCAGGAATTTGAAATATTTGATTAAATTATTGATAACTCTTCTCATATTATTTTGCTAATTTAGTCCTAACTCTGATTTTAGTATAAAGAATGTTCGATAAATCCAAACTGCATATTAGACCAAAATGAGCTGCCCAAAAATGGCATTTTCGAGAATAACAGTTCTGCTCCAAGTTCTAAAGGAAATTTTAAGTTTTTTATAACTACTGAAAAAATATTATAATTTAGAAGAGGAGTAAAATAGAAAAAAATGTTGAATATTGAAGAATTATTCGAGCATGTTACAAATCTGCAAAGGCAAAAAATTGGGTATTTAAGTATTTGGGAGAAGAATTTTAACATTTAATTTAGAATTTTCATTGCAAGAATAATCAAAAATCTGCTTGTATTATTATTATGGGGAAGATATTTTTGTTATTTAATATTACAGAACATTATCAAATCTCATATTTCGTGTTATGCAACCGCATATAAATATATTGTGTAGATGATGCAGGTGTACTGAAATAAAAATTGAAATAATAACAAATATTTTGAATATTTAATATTTTCATTTACGTAATATATATTTTGTTCTTTTTTCTTTTTTTATATAAATTATGCTTTTTTTTTTTTAAATATTTTAGATTTGGTTTTTAAGAAATCTGTAAGTAAATTAATAATAATTGGTAATTGAAACTATAAATATATTATGCTTAATTTAACACAAAAATCCTTATATTATTATATTGCTAAATTTTTTATTTTACTTTATAGGTGTTTTTTTTTTTTAATAAAAATTTGTTTCTTTTCTATTTTTCTGAGGTTATTAGCAGTTAATTGTACGAAAATTTATTAAAGCAACCAAAAATATATATAAAATTTAAATTTATTATTATTAATTAAATAAATATACGTATGTATATCCTTAAAAAATTTACATTTTGTTAGAAATTAGATATAATTTTAATTTTTTAAGTAATGGTTGCTTAATAAATACAAAGCAAAAATAATGATGAAAAAAAAATTCTAATTAAAATTTTTTAATGATATTTATATGTAATTTTTTAAAATATATTGTGAAGTCGAGGAAAAATCTGTAAAAAATAAATAAATTTTATTTTATCATGAAATTGACAATTATACAATATTTTAATACAAATTATTATCAATTTTTAATTTATAATCCTAATTATACTTAATGGTATAATTATATTAATAAATTTTAGGTAAAATGATTTTAGTTTTAATAACAGGCTTTTCACAAAAAAAATAATTTTCTAAATAAAATATATCAGTAAAATAAAACGCTATGAAGAACGGCTCTTTGCCGATTTGCTTCAAAATCATGTAATAGTTCATCAATATCATTATCTAAGTCTTCTGACTGTGACATCTGTAAGAAAAATTAGGAATTTTTATTATTCTAATATAAAAGTTCAAATATTTTACCAAATATTTTTTTTGGGTATAGAATTGACCATTTTCAATAGTTGCAATGTTATTTGAATAATCTCAAGTTAAATAAGATTATATTGTACATTAGTAATTAAAAATTTAAATTCACGATTACATATTTTTACTAATAGTTGCATATACATATATGCAATCCAAATTTGTTCATATATTACTTGTATATTGCTGTTTAGATTGATTCTTAGAATTTCTATTAATTACAATTAATTTAAATAAAGCCGAAACTTAATTCATTTATTTAAGTTCATTTAAATCATTTGTTTAATAACATTGCAAAAATCAGGATAGTAATTTTGTCAAGTTTCAAATCAGAAATATATAATTTGAAAGTATTCCCATTTTGAAAAAAATATTTAAATTAAAGGAAAAACAAAAATTTTTTTCAACATTGATTACAGTCTGTATTTTATTTTTTCTATATACTATCATAATTTCTTTTATTATTACCATTGTTATCAAATCACATATTAAAAAAGCTCCAAGAGTGGCATCTTCGTGATTATCTTGAACATCTACGTTAATCAAATGAACTGGCTGATTTAAAGTTGGTTCTTGGGATTCCATGAAATCAATTACCTTAAAATAGTACTTCAATTAATAAAAATTTTACTATGGATTATGTATTTATGTATATTTTAGATGAAAAAATATTTTCATTCTGAGAAATTTGAAAATTTCAACTGGTTTTGTTTCAATTAGGTTATAATTTATTATAATGCATACATACGTATATGTATAATATTATTACAAGATTATGAAAATTATATTTTAAAGAAAGCAAAAGGATATAGTGGAAAAAAAATTTTTTTTGATTTAAGATACAAAGGCAAAAACTGTATGTTTCGTACTTGATCATAAACTCTTTCCTCTACTGTTACTATAATATCGAAGCGTTCCTTGCAATCTTGAAATCTTTCAGGACACTTCTTAATTCTTCGATTTCTATCTAACATGTGAAGTAATCCATTTTGTGTATAATAAAGTTTATCTTTAGCAACTAGATCATTATAAATATCATCATAGGTTCGTCCAAATTCATAAACATTTGGCTTATCGATTGCTGTACCAGGCAGTTTAACTTTTTCTCCAGTTCCAAATGATTTTACTTTAAAACCTTTTTTTGCCAAGAATCCATGCGCTTCCATTGACCGATTCATATTAGATGAACAAATTACAGCAATTGATAAATTTGAATTACTTAACATTATTCTAAAAGTAGAATAAAAATAAATATTAGTTGTGAATGAAGAGGTTATTTAACAAAATTATTTTTGTAAATCACTCGAAAACCTTACAGCTTAAAATTTATAATATACTTTTTTATGCGAAATTAATTTACGAATACTTTTTTTACTTTTAAAATTTTATTAATATTTTTTAATAAGAAATCGGTTTTTATCAAATGTCCTTCTTTTTTATTGAACTTTATAATGTGAAAGCAACTTGTTTGCCGTCTTTTGAGTTTTGATCAAATCATATCTGTCAAAAATATGTCAATATTGAAAATTCACAATTGACTTTGAAGCTATTCGCAATACAATTATAATGACACAACATAAAAACATTATTAATATTAATGCTGGAAACATTGTTTGCAAGGGAGAGATGGGAATACTAAAACGAATACTAATAGAGTTTTTAATTTTAAAATGCTCATTGTTATTAAATGTTAGGTGCTTATCAGACTAAGTTCACGTTTTAATCTTAGTTACTGTTTATACATACATATGTATATAAGTATATACGATGAAATGTACGATTTAATCTGAGTCTGAAGAAAGTCGCATATGTTAACCGTGGGAAGACACGGAATAGAAACTATTATGTATTCTCATCAGATTAACTGTCAAATTTTAAAAATAAAATAGCGTCGATTAATTTTTGCGATAGGTTTAGTGCAACTGATTTCTTTTTTGGTAAATAGTCATCGGACTTTGTCGTGTATAGATCTTAGATTTTGTCTTATATTTAAACAGTACCCAAGGTTTAATTTCATATGTAAAATGTTTCAAAGCTAAGAAATATAAAATTTTGTGAAAGAATTTGTGAATATGATTTACAGTTGAGCATTTGCAGTAGAGAATAATTAATATTGAAATAAATTGATAAATATCAGCCAAAAATGTATCGATATTCCAATATATCGAAATAATAATGACCGAATAAATAACGTGAAAAATTTATCGATTAATGTATCGATATTTTTATATTGTTCCGACCTTAAAGAATTTCATGCTCTAATCACTGTTATTTTGCTGTCATAATAAATAAATGTGTTAGAAAAACTGTGATCCGAAAAATGGGAAAGAAAAATAAATCTGGGAATAATTCCCTAGGAAGAACATTAATTAAGGATCGTTTCGGTAAAAAACACAGAACTCTTGACAATGGCTCTATGGTTTGTATAAAAATTATTTTTTAACAAAATGGAATTTTTATAATTTAAAAAATTTTAGTTACATACTGCTGATCTGCAAGATGGATATGATTGGGGAAGACTTAATTTGCAATCAGTTACAGAAGAATCGTCTTTCGAGGATTTTCTTCGTACAGCCGAATTAGCTGGAACAGAATTTCAAGCAGAAAAGTTGAATATCAAATTTATTAACCCCAAAAGCAATGTTGGATTGTTAACAAACCAAGAAAAAGCTAGTATGAAAGAAAAACATATTGCACATAAAAAAGCCTTGCAGATACCTCGTAGGCCGCCTTGGTCTAAAGACATGACGGCCGAAGAATTAAAAGAGCGCGAGAATGCATCATTTTTAGAATGGCGGAAAAGTTTATCACTACTTCAAGAAAACGAAGGAGTTTTAATGACACCGTATGAAAAAAATTTAGACTTTTGGCGTCAGTTGTGGAGAGTTGTAGAACGTTCAGATGTCATTTTACAAATTGTTGATGCTAGAAATCCATTGATGTTTCGAAATGAAGACTTAGAAAAATATGTCAAAGAAGTAGATAATAATAAGATGAATATCATTCTCATCAATAAATCAGATTTTCTTACGAAAGAGCAAAGAGAATCGTGGGCAACCTATTTTGATAGCATAGGACTTAAGGCTGCTTTTTTTTCTGCAACCGCCGCAACAGAATCACAAAATAAAGAACTTGATAAAGTGATTGAAGAAAATGAGGATTTAGATTCAGAAAACGAAGAAAAGTCAAATTTTAAAGAAGTAGTAGCCGAAAATTTAGAGAATTGTGGAAATGAAAACCAAACAAACGAAGATAAATCCAATAGCCAATCTGAAGATAATAAATTATTTGAAAATGTAAGTATTGATGCAATGAAAACGGCAGCTTATCATATTTCGAAATCACTACAGAAAATCGAAGATCAGTTAACTTTAGTTGAAACTAAATTAAAAGAGGCAGGAATTTGTGAAGTGAACTCTCCAAAACTTCTAAGCAGGGAAGAACTCATTCAGTTATTTAAAACTATATATAAGGGTCCAAAAGTTACAGAAGGTGTGACTACAATTGGTATGGTTGGTTATCCTAATGTAGGTAAAAGTAGTACAATAAATGCCTTACTGACTGAAAAAAAAGTTTCGGTGTCCAGCACCCCAGGAAAAACGAAGCATTTTCAAACTTTATATCTTGACCATGATATACTTTTATGTGATTGTCCTGGTCTTGTAATGCCTAGTTTTGTTTTTACTAAAGCTGAAATGATATTGTGTGGTATATTGCCAATTGATCAGGTATGAAAAAAACAATTCTACCCAAATTTGATTTTTGAAATTTCAACTTTTAAGATGAGAGATCATGTTCCACCTATAAATCTTCTATTAACCGAGATTCCGGCACATGTTTTAGAAGATAAGTATGGCATATTGATAGCAAAACCACTGGAAGGCGAAGACTCAGAAAGACCTCCTTTTTCTGAAGAGCTATTATTAGCTCACGCATGTAATTCAATTTGAATAGTTTTTTTTCCTTATTTTTTGCTATTTTTTTTATTATGCAGATAATAGAGGTTTTATGACAGCTAATGGACAACCAGATCAATCACGATCAGCTAGGTACATTCTAAAGGACTATGTAAATGGAAAACTTTTATATTGCCACGCTCCACCCACAATAAACCAAAATGAATTTCACATATTTCCACCTAGAACGAAAAAAGAAATTATTGAAAATAAATTACCGGAACAGCAGCAAAGAGCAATGAGGGTAATTTTTTAGAAATAAGTGTACACATCTTTATTTTTTAAATAATATATTTTAACTTTTGTAGATCAATAAAATTACAACAGCAAAAGAATTAGATGACAAATTCTTTGCTTCAAATACGGGAGCAGCTTACATAAAAGGAAGAAGTAATTTTCCACATATACGTACTACTAGCTCGGATGTTAATAGTGAATGTTCGGGAAGTATTGCTGGTTCGCAACAAAGCTTAAATTCTCTACAATTTGGTGAAAAACCGTGGCGTAATGTTAAAAAAGAAAAACGTGAAAAATTGCGAAAGAAATATGCATATTTAGATAAACATTGAAAAATCTATATATGTATTTAATTTGTACAGCCATTCTTTAAAAATAGAGTCTATAACAAATTATGAAATGTGGGTCTAAATTTCATTCAAATGAAGCTTACCGCAAATTTTAGCCTTTATTTTAGGTAATAAAGCAAAAACTTTATTTGAATAACTTAATTTAAATGTACACATATTATGAGGCTTTATTCCATTATGAAAATTGTTCTTTGACGCAAAACATTTGTTTTGTTTCAAAAAGAATATTCAAATCTAAAATACATCTACAAAATCAAGTCCTTTTAAACCGTTCAAATTTTTAGTAAAAAACGGTTGTAAAATTTTTTTTATATATCTTTCATTTCAGCATTTAATTCATAAATATTTTTGTCTTATATGTATAATAAATTTTTGATTGGACTTTACAATTTTAGAGAAATTTTTAAAATGATAATGAAATTATAAAAAATATGTTTAAAACTAAATTCATTAAAATGAAATATCAAATTTTTTTTGGGCAATGAATTAATTATTCCGTTGAAACTGAATCATCAATTTCTGTTTTAATATTAGTTTTTTTATACTCCATTTCATGATTTGTTTTTATATGAGCTGCTAATATTTCAAGTTTCCCAAAACGTTTATTGCAATATCTGCATTCTGCAACTATTTTTGAATTATGTATATTCATATGTCTTTTCAAATCAGCTGGTGAACTGAATGCTTTATTACAAATCTGTAAATGAAGAAATTCCAATTTTTAAGAGTAATTTTTATACATATGTATGTATTTTTTTTTAATGAAACCTTGCAAGAATTTAACTTTTCCTTCACTTCGCAATGTGTTTTTTTATGTGCAATCAAGTTACTTGAATAACGAAACCTAATAAATTTATTTTTTTTTTAAATGTGTATAATCAAAAATGTAAAATTTAAATACCTTTTATGGCAAATGTGACATTGGAACGGCATTTCTCCAGAATGCACCAGCATGTGTTTCTTAGAATTACAACAAAAAAGGTATAATAGATGAGTATTAATTTTTTTGTAGGTAATTCGACTAAATTTTGATTATTTGTATTTTTACCTTGAATCCTGATTTCTGTGTCATGCCTTTTCCACAAATCCCACATAAAAACGGTTTTTCCCCTGAAATACGGACAAACTAATTTAAAATAATAACTTTAAAACTTATAAACTACCTGTATGTGTAAGCATATGTGTTTTTAAAGAGTTTGCTTGTCTATAAACTTTTCCGCAAACTGTACACTATAAACAATTAAAAAAGTTATAAGTAATAAAAATCAAAATTATGCTATAATTTTTACTTTATGCGGATTATTTACGTCATGCGTTGTCATATGCCCCTCATAAGCGTTTCTTGTTTTAAAACCTTCTCCACATTCATTACATAAAAACGGTGTAGAACTCGAATGCAATTGCATATGATATTTCATTGATGATCTTGTACTCAAATGTTTTTTACAAATTTTGCATATATATGGTGGTCCCGGGATATTCATTTTTTCAGAAAAATTTCTTGATCTACGTTTTTTTTTACTTTCTTCAGAAATATTTTCAACATTTTGTTCAACTTTTATCATATGTACATTTCCGTTTTCATCATTTTGATCAAAATTTAAATCACTGAGAGCTTTATTCACGGTTTCGTTCTTTAATTGCATTTTGCTTATCATATCATTTGTACTTTGGTCATAATAATCATCATCATTATTAAGGTTGTCGAAACTTGAATTAGTATTATCTTCATCTTCTTGTTCAATTTCTAAAATTTCTGTTTCTATGCTATCATCTTCTATAATGTGTTGAATAATTCCTTCAGATTCATTCTGATCTTGTTCACTTCTATCGTCAGATGATATTATAATGTTATGGTCATTATTACGAGATAAAGAACGCGCTGAATGACCCTTAATAACTTTTACTTCCGATGGTTCTATATGAACATCAATTTCATTATCTCCTTCAATATTTACAGCATTGTATAAGTAAACTGTTTGTGTCTCTGGCTCACCCATGGTAAAATCATCATTGCAATCACTTATTCTTCGTGAAGTTTTTGGGCTACCTAATTTTTCCTTTAAATACCTATCTGATTCAAGACATGTTTGAAGAAATGCAAAAGATTGATTTGCTTGTATAACACAACCATAGCACATTTTGTCAGGAAATATATCCGATTCGTTTATCTAAAAAAAGAAAATTCTGTATTATTTCAATATGTAGTAATATTAATTTAAAATGAATTGTAAACAAAAATTTTCCATTATTTTTTTATTATATTAAATATTTAAATTTCACCGTAAATTGACTAATTTCAACAGTGAAGAAATCAGTAATCATTCAAAATAAAAAATTTCATCCACAAATTCATTCACATATTCAAAATAGAAGCTGTCGAAGATTCAATTCACAGCTTTTCAAATATAATTCCTCTACTTACGGTTAGCTTTGTAAATTCCATTAAAACTCTTGATAAAGTTGTTGTTTTACCCGCAATTACTCCCAGCTTAAAAATTGATCTTAAATCTGAAGATTCAGAAAGGCAAGTTCGACAAATTTCATCAATTTTCATTTTCCAAAAAATTAAAAATACAATTTTAAGAAGCCACTATGAATAATTTTTGACAGTTGTCATTCACAAAATGACATTATGTAAAATTTTCAAGAACGCCAAAATTTGTTACACAAACACATGCTTCGAAAAATTCACAAAATTGAAATTGTTTTTATGCTTTTTTTCAGCTGTCAAAAAAAATACGTTTTTTTTTAACGAAAATTTATAATTTTCAAAATATATATTCAAAAAGATATTCAAAATGGTTTTATCGTTGGAAATAGTTGAATATATGAATCAATAGGGAATTAAATCAAATAAAATGAAATTTAATTTTAATCCGTAACTGCTGACATATTATCTCCGTGAGATGACACAAAATTTTCAAAATATTTTTTCCACAAAACCTAGATTACTATTACTTTTTATACCTTACCATTAGTTGCATTGCAGTTTTAAACCTTTTAAAACATTACAGTGGTGTCGTGAGTTAATATTCAAGTTATCTTTGATAGTTTTAAAACGACTCTCAGAAGCGGACGAATAGTGGGAGTAGCTTGTTTAAAAACTTCTTACAAAGTAGTTCTTTTAATTTTACATGTAAACATAAATTGTAAACAGTATAACAGTTTAATAATCTGTTATTTTTTTTTATTAACGCACAAAGCCAGTAAATGGGTGTTATATATAAATAAATTCAAAAACAAAAAAAAAACGGCTACGAAAAAAAAGAAATTAATTGAAACAGGTGTGTGTAGCCACCTACATTTTAAATTCTACAAATCTTTAATGTTTCAATTTTCCAATGTTTCTAGTAACCAATTTTTCAAAACTGTCAATCAAATGTTACTTTAATCACAAAATTTGTCATTACCAACACCAAAATATTTAGCTTAAAATGATGGAGTCAAATTGCACTATTTATTTGTCAAAATCTGTTTGTCAAATCTTATGAAAATGGCTAAAAATTTAAATTGAATTCTTATTGCGTTTTATTTGTTTCAAGTTCAATGTTACAACAGCATATAAAGAAAAATTGAAGGTTAAATCGATTCAACAGCAAATTGCAATTATAATAATGACAAACTTCTTTGTTGATCACGCTTCAAAACGGCATGTTGCGTTAAGACAAGATTTTAGTTTTTTGGTTAAGTAAGAAAATGCAGTGTCAAAATTTTGTTCTGAGAAAAACTTAAAAAATTTTAAAATAGTAAGTTTTAAATTAACCTTACGTGAAAAGTTTAAAAATAGTGAAATAATTATTATATTTGTTAATTATTTGCAAAGTTATTTTTAATAAGCAAAATAATTTTGTTAAAGTCAGCTGAATAAATTAATTTTGCCATATTCAGCCTCTTTAGTTTTGACTTTAATTTATTGACATTATAAAACTCTGACAATACTCGAACCTCTTGAATAAACTACCTTAGAATAATATTGGAATTATAAAATAAAAAAAAAAACAATGGATTTACTGGGGTCAATTTTGAATTCAATGGATAAACCACCGGCAATAAATGAAAAGGATAAAGAAGCCATAAGAAGTAAATATGTATACTGCGAATAAATTATTTGTCTGAAAGTTTTTATTTTATTTTGGTTTTGAATACATTTCAAGGACATTCATTTTATTTTAGGACAAAAAGAGCAGGCGGAGAAAATGAAACTAAAAGAAAAACAAGAACTAAATCGTTTTAGAAAATATACAGAGGAGAGGATTAGCCGTTTTTCTAAAGATGATAGAAAATTTATAGAATTTCAGATATTAGATAAACTTTATAGAACAATAATGTAAGTTGGTTACTTATGTACACAAAGAACGAAAAAAATAAGTACCTACTAGGTAGGTACATACTTTCGAATATAAAACTAAAATATTCTGTAACATCGCTACCAATTATATTAAATAATTAAAATTAGCAATGTATCTATTCACATGGGATTATTAATAAAATACAAAAATACTTGACGAGCAAAATAAATATTGGACCAGAAAATAAAATCTTGAAGATTGACTCTAATGAAATATTAAATTATTGTTATTATGAAAAATATAATTATTATTATTTTTGATTTTTTTCTTTTTAAGACATGATGTAGCTGAAATCGGTGGGTTAGTTGCAATGAGCTTTGGACAAGAAGGAATTGACCGTTATACTGTTGTTTATAAAAAGGATCATCCGCCAACTGAAGATGAAATTCATGCAAGACGTAACGGTGAAGGATGGAATGACGAAATTGCAAAAGAATATGCTGAAAGACGTCAACAAATGAGGATAATAGAAATCAATGCAAAAAAAGAAGACAAAGAACCAATAAAAGAAATTGTGCCTGTATCAAATTACAAAGATAAATATGCTCATTTAATTGGGCAGGATGCTGCATTGCAGGCTGCCCGAAAAACTGAATCAAATAAGGTTTATGGTTTTGGTATGTTTAACTATTTACTTATAGCCAAATAGTTTACTACATAATTATATTTAATTTCAGTTCCTAGTGAAAATAAAAAAGATTGCCGTTCAATTGAACAAACTATGGCAGATATTCAAGCCAAAAAGAGACTAAAAACACAGCATCAGAAAAGCAATATATCGCAACCAATTAATAATGATGGAATTATTAATATTATTGTACCTTCTAAGACTGATGGTAAAAAGTAAAAAAGAAGTTAATATTTAAAATTATAAAAAAAAAAAATGGGAATCTTCATTTATTATTGACAAAATGTACTTTTTAAAATTCATTATTTAAAAAAAAAAAACTAAAGTAAAAATTCAAAAAAAAAAAAATGTTAAATATATTATTGTACTATATTGTAATAATAATAATAACTACATACATACTATAATTATTATTTTACGTAGAATCATAATGAAATAAAATAAAAAAAAATTGTTCATGATAAAAAAACAACAACAAAAAAAAAGCATGCACAAATCAAACGCTAAAATTGAATGATTTGAGTTTTTTAATGAACGCTTATACATACTTACATACATATTTTCTTAAATCACGTTCTTTTAGAATACTCAACAAGAAGATAAATAGAAGATAAGCAGTAATTATAATTGCAATTATTTGATCATAATAATCTTTATATTTTAACTATGTTATCTAAGAAAATAGATAAGTAGGGAAAAAATCGTTATATGTAATTATACACATAATGTACAATTGTACATGCCATGCCTTCAAAAATCCATAATATATAAATTTTTTAACAAACCAAATATATAATTTTAAATTTAAAACACCTAAATAAAATTGTACAATTTAAATATGTGTTAAATGCATTACATACGAAAATTATTTATGTAATGGACTTGGCACTTAAACCTCTAACTTAAAAATATTAAAAAAATTTTATTTTTACAGAATTTTAAAAAACATATTTACTCTTCAGTAAAGGTTTATTTACCGAACATGGATTTACATAATTAAGTATTAAGATCTAAGTTAGAAGCAAATTTTCAAAAATCTCTGAACTGCCAGAAACGCAAAGAATTTTTTCATTAAAAATTTCTATTTTGTAATTCTATTTATCTTAATAATTTGTATTAAAGTTCTAGTTTGCTTGAGGATTTCAAAAATGCAGTGCAATACTGTATTAATACACAAATTCACAAATGTAACTAATCAACTGAATTGTGATTTAACAATTCATTAAGTATTATTCTAATTTCCAATTCACGCTTTATTGAAAGAATTGTAATTTCTTTTTTTTTTTAAAGTTGCAGGGTCGGGCGAGAGATATTTATTTTAAGAATAACTAATTTTTTAGATTCAATTTGAATTTAGTTTCTTGAGGTCAGTTATTCGACACAAACTAAATATTCTGAAAAAAAATATAAGGGGACGGAGCAATTATTATAACCGGAGGCACAGAACTTTTTGATTTTGGACGAAAGTTAGTTCTATTTGAGTTAAATGAAACATATGCTTTTTTTTTAATATAAAAATTTGATATATATATATTTCTTTTACAATATCTTTTTATTTTTTTATTTTTTTTTTTTTAAGTTTTTAATATTTTTCTTTTTGTTTTTTTTTTTTTAATTTTTATTTTTTTTTTTACATTTAGATATAATTTTATCATTTATCAATTACATCATTATTAATTATAATTCTTTTTTTTTTTGTTTTTTATTCAAATGTTCATATGAATATATAGATATATATATACATATTTATATATATATATATATTCTTGTTTTTCTTTTAATTATGTATTTATATATATATATATATATATGCTAATAATTAAGTCTTAATAATTTTGTTTTTTTTTTTTTAATATTATTACTTATTTTTATTTCTGCAATTTATGTATTTTTATATATATCTTAATATATATACATATATATAATGTTTATATACATACAATTGCATATATATAATATAGGTGTATATATATACGGTATATAAACATAATATTATAATTGTTGCATTTATTTTTTATATTTTTTTTACGTTTTTCTTTTTTGTATTTAAATTTAAATTCTAATGCATTATTCGATATCAATTTTTGTTTTTTTTTTTTTTTTTGTTTTTTTTTTCTGTTAATATTTTATATTATATTTTTTTAAATGTATCTACATAAAATATATTAAATTTGTAATTACATTTATATTAATTTTATTTAACATAATTTTTAATATTAATTTTTTTTAATAATAAGTAATTTTAATATTTAAAATTTTATGCTAAAAATTTTTTATTTTGTTCATTTTTAATAATTAATAAAAATTTATTTTGAATAGAAAATAAAAAAAAAATAGGAGAAAAGAACAAAATATTCACAAATAAAATATTTTATTTAAATAAAATACAATAAAGAACAAATAAATTGTATTTTGCTTCTTATTTTATTTATTTATTTAATTATTTTTTTTTTTAACTAAAACATTAAAATTAATTTTTTATCACTTTACACGTTCCATTTTCTTTTTTTTTTTCTCTTTTACTTATCTTTTCTCTCTTTCACTAAAATATAGATTTTTTTATTTTTTTAATTAATCAAAATTTAAATTCTTTTTTTTTTTTACTATAGGCAAATATTTTTTTTTTTGTTAATAAATTTTAATAATGAATTTTTAATTTCATTTAAAAATCCGAATTTCATTTTTCTTCTTCCAAAAAAAAAAAACCAATCAAATTTTTCAATATATTTTTATTATTAAAGAAACCAAAATAAGGAATTCATTTAAGGCTTAAGGTTTTTCCAAGAAAAAAGAAAATTAATTAAAAAATATTTTTTAATTTGGGCCCCTGTCTTCATTCGCTCACAAGGAAATGAACGAAAGTGAGTGAACGATAAACAGTTATAATTTATTTTTTTATTTGAAAACACCAGATTTTCTTTCAATATAAAATTCCAATGCATAATTTCCAAATTGTCTGACAATTAATTTTTAAGTAATGACACCAAAAATGAATGATAGGGGCACTTAAATGAAAATTATAAGGACCCTAATTTTATATTTCAAATTTTTTCTTTAGTTAATTTAGAATGAACCAATCAACATTAAAAAAGGGTTAGAAAAAATAAATTGGAATTTATCGAAATGCTACAATGTTATATGCAAATATGAATTATTTGAAAAATAATTATAAAGAAATTTGGAAAAACAAAATTGTAATAAAAATTTAATGCATATTTCATTGATAATAATATTATGACTATAGCTACCATTTATTTAAAAAAAAATATTTAGTTATTTTATTTAAATGTTTTTTATAAAATTTTATATAAAAGGTTTTTTTTTTTTTTTATGAAATAAACGAATAAATTACTTAAATGAAATTATTTTCTAATTTTTATTTGAAATTATTTCAGATTGTGTTCCTAAAAGTTTTTTAAAATTTTTTTATTGTGTTTCTTTTTGTAATTGAAATGAAATCAATTAATTTGCGTTTTGTTGCTTCTATATTGAAAATTTTGTATATGTATATATTTATATACATTTAATATTTACTATTATTGTAAAATGTATTAGGCATAATTGGCAGAAATAAAAAAATTCCAAATATAAAATGTTTTTTTTTTTTTTTTTAATATAATCAAACCGAACACACTTATTTAAATAGAGAATGCATTATTCATAATTTCTTCTAATTATTGTAAAAAAAAATTTGAACATATTAAAAATATTTAATATAAAATCAAGGCCAACTTCAATATTGCAGTAATATGATATTGAAATGCAATTCACCTTATCAATGGTTCAAGTTACGGAAGTTCAATTTTTGGCCAAAATAATAATAATCAATTAATTAAATTAATTAGATTAATAACGCTCATTACAGAAACAGAAACCTCTGAAAACACAGCATGCGTGAACATTTCCAACTTAAAACTAAAATAAAAACTTTTTTGCATTAATTGCAAAGAACTATAAAACTTATTTTTTTTTTTATTTGTGTAGAAAAAGAAGCAGATTTTTATCTTAATTATTTTTAAAAATGCAGTTCTTGTACTTAAAATAAAAAAGTTTAAAAATTTTTATAAAAAAAGATTGTCGATTCTATAAACTATTGCTGTTAAGAGAATTGAAAATAAAAATTTATCTACTTGCAGTTGTAGTTATCAAAAAAAACTGCTATAAACTGAAGAAGAAAATAAGCTGCTATAAATCTACATTTTTAGAAGAACTGCTTTACAGTTTAAGCAAATTTTATCAAACAGACATACTGCATTCTGTTACTAAGTTAGAGCTGCGTTTTCAGAACAATTTCTAATAGCATTCACGTTTAATTTCAAATTATCTAAAGAAAATTAATAAAAAAATATTTAAAATCAATCTTTTCAAAAATTTAAAATATTACATTTGTTTTTGTAAAATTATGGAATAACAATAACTGAATTGTTATTAAATTTAAATAAAATATTTATATAAAAATTTTAAAAATTTTTAAAATTAAATTTTGAGGTTTTAAATTCAGACTCTATTTTCAAATATTCAAATACTACATAATATTATTAAAAAATTTTTGTTTGTTTTTGTTGTTTTTTTTTTACAAATTCTTATATATATATAACTACTTGAATTCAAATATTTTATGTTTATTTCTTAAAAACAATTTATGTAATTGCTTATTTTAAACAAAATACACGAATTTTTAGTTATACAATATCTTGGTTTTTGTGTTTTTTTTTAGCTATTAATTAGCGATTAATTTTTTCTTATATGATTCAAAAAATATTGTATTTTTTCTTTTAAAATTTTAATTTTTTTTTTTTTTTTCAATAACATTTCTGAACAAATTTTTAAATTTTCTACCATAATGTGTATATACATATAATATTAATGTCTATAAATATACAATAAAGAATTTTATATTTAGTACACATATATTTTTGTATTCGGCTTTTGCTTTTCTTTTTTGTCTAATTTCATATAAATTTTAAGATATCCAATTTTCGATAATGTAATAATTATTTTCATATACATATATTAAATTTTGTAAAATTTTGCCTGCTCTTATGGGAAACAAATTGTGCATGATGAAAGAAAAAAAAATTGTCCGACGAGTAAAATAATTAAGGGTAATTTTATAATTTTGGAAAAAATAAAAAAATTTTGCTTTGACAAAAAATTGACTTGAATTTTTTAACTAAATTTAATTTAAAAAACAATTTATCCACTTGCCTAAGAGAAATTTAGTTTGTGTATTATAAACAATTTAAATACATTTATTAATTTACTGAAGTTTATATTTATTATGAAAATAATTTTAATGAAACAAAGGTTGTAAATTATTGGCCGAAAGAAAGGGCCAAAACAATTGTACATTTCTGATATTTTTGAATTGAGTGCCTATCTCTTACCTGAATAAATTGTGAATAGTTTTCTAATTATTAAATTTAGATGAAGAAGAAAAATATAAAAATCATATTTTACAATTTTAAAAATTAAAATTATATATATATACACATATTATAAATTATTTATCAATCAATATATTTTTTTGTTTAATTTAATTTTATTTGTTTATTGAATTATTTTTTTTTTTCTATATTATTAAATATAACATTTTATTTACTTTATAATACATCTACATAAAAACGAGCATTAAAAAAAAAAAAGAATTTACATTTTCCTTTTTGAATACTTTTTAATTTAAATTGAATTTTTTTTTTAACTCCTAAAGATAAATTTATTAATAGTTTTTTTTTTTTTGCTTTTATAATTAATTTTAATGAATGAATCAATTTTTATATTAATTTTAATATTTTTTTTTTCGATTCGAATTGCACTCTCTAAGTTAAATTAAATAATTTTTTTTTTTTTCTTATTTGTTTTAAAAAAAAAATGTTTATTTTATTGGTAATTTTATAGAAAATTACATAAATATTAGAGCTGTAATAATAATTTATATAAAAAAAAAAATTAAAAAATTTAATTTTTTTTTTGTTCATTTATTTAAAAAAATATAAGAAGAAATGGCAGCTTTATTATAAATTTAATTAATTTATAATAATATTAATTAGATTAAATGATGAAATATATAAAATATATATTATTATACACGTAATGTAAACTACTAATACTTCTTTTTACATTCATGAAATATGGCAACTAAAATTTATCTACACATATTTTATTCCATATTCCAATTTTTTATGTAACAAAAGTAATTAATTTTAATAATAAGTTAAAACAAAACAAAAAATCATTTAAATTTTGTTTAAATTTCGGAATGGAAAACAAAAATACAAAGTAGAATACAAAAAAAAACGAACACGTTTTAAATAAAATTTAATAATTTATTATTGTTTTAGAATTTAATTTTATGATAAATTAAAAATTAAATAAATTTGAAAATTTCATCTAAAATGAAATATTGAAAAACAATAAATAATAATTTTAATTTGTTAATTAAATTTTGAATTTTTAAAATGACAATACAATTTGTGATTCCCAGATACTTTTTAAGTTCCCTATTTTTATTTATATAATTTATATAATATTTATATTTTAATACCAAATAAATTAATTAAATCTGATTTTTTTCTTTTTTAAATTAATATGATCGAAAAACTGAAAATTATAATTTTATCATTAGTCTAATAATATTATTTTTATTAGATATTTTATAATTTAAAATTATTTTATAATTATATTATATAGTTTCACAAAAATATGTGATTTTATTTATATGCATTATAATTTTTGTTATTTTTTATAATTTTTCTCTAATATTAATATAAATTTCATATTTTTTTTTTGTGTTTTAAAATTATTAATTGGAATACAGCTCTAAAATGATGTTTTCAATTTGTTTTTTTTTGTAATTTTTTTGTTTTTATTTAAATTTAATTTAACAATTAACTTAATAAAGAATAATGTTATTTAAGATTTAATTTAGGTTTTCTTAATTTTTTTTCTTGTTTTATTTAAATTTTAAATAATGAATATTTGAATTTTATTTTTTTTGTTTTTTTTTTTTTTTTTACTATATAAATTTATTTTTCTTTACTTTTCTTTTTTTTTTAAGTTTATATAATATAATTAGTATTAAAATATTAAAAACAAATATATTATTTATATATTAATTTAGTCGTCACATTATAATATAACCTATGTATTTCTAATTTTGCAATAATTTATAATTATTTTTTTTTTATATATAAAATTAATTTAAAATTAAGAAAGTATAGTATTAAATATTTATAGTTTTATATGCTAATATATTTTTTTTTTGTATTTATTTTATATTATTTTGTTATCTTAAATTTTTACATACTGTTTTTTTTTTTATTTGTTTTTTTGTTAAAGATTTAAAAAAAATTATAATTTGATTTTTATATGAAAATGAAAATTAGAAAAAAAAAATGCAAGTAGGAAAAGTGAGGGAAGTATACGGGGGGATAAGAGATGAATATTTGTTTGTTTTTTAATTTAACATTATAAAATCTCTTAATATTTGTGTTAAATTAGATTCAATTGATCTTACCAATTAGGTAAAGTATAATAATTATATTAATTTTATTATTAAATACTAAATTTTCTTTTTACATTAAATCTAATATATGTTCTTAATATTATTTTTTAACCTAATATTTAATTTTATAAGTGTTTATGTATCCAAAAAAAAAAAAAAAAATAATTATAATAATTCTTATATTAATAATATATTAATATAACACACAAACATGGCATTTTTTCTTTATTTTTAAATATTTTTGGTAAGAATTTCATATAATTATGCTTTTGAATATATATTTATATATATGAATTTGTTTCGTTTACTTCTTTTATTTAAATATTTTATTTACATTTTGTAATTTAAAATATATACAAAAATGTTCTTATTAAATTATTAAATTTTTACTTTTTTTTTTTTTAATTTTTGTTGCTCATAAATAAATTTTTATATTAAATTTTGTACAATATTTTATTAATATAATAATTAATTATTGGATAAATTTTTTCTTTTTTCTTTTGTTAATATCGGGATTAATATTTTGTGCTAATTTTTTATTTTATTATCAAAATAATTTTATTTAATTTTAATTCTTAATTTTTGTGTTTAATAAATTTTTTTTTTTTTGTTACATTTTATCTTTTTAAAACCATTTTTGTTTTATTGTATGAATGAATGTGTTTAATATTCTGATTTAATAATCCGAAAAGCGTCACTTAAGAGTTTTTATTTTTTCATTTTGATTCTAATAATTTTTTTTTTTTAAATAATTGATGTCCATTTATTTGTTTATAATATATCCATTCGAATTCCATGATGTTTTCTCACCAAATTCATTAAATTTTTATAAATTTATAATTTTATGAAGTTTGTCTGTTAATATTTGAGATCATTTGTGATAAAGTTCTTGTCCAATTATCATTATTAAAAAAAAAACCCTGTATCAAATTTACAATAATTTTTTTCTTCTTATAAAATCTTCAACTATTTACATAATACGTATATATATATTAGAAATTGGCGAGGTGTTTTCTTATGTTTCATATGATGTTAAGATACTATTTACTCCATAAAAAAAAATAATTAAAAATTTGATGTAAATTAATATAAAAGTATTGTAAGGTTTAAATACTTTAATAAAAAATATTGATTAATTTTTGAATACTGATCAATCACAATCAATCATAATAGCTCATACATCAAGCACTAATTGTGTTTAAATTCTTTTTTTTTCGTTAAAAATAATTTAGATAAAACAAAATCATTATAATTCCACATTAAATGTGTTAAAAATTAAATTTACATTTAATATTAAAGTAATATTATATTTAAAAAATAAAAAGCTGCACTATTTTAACTTTTGTTAAGAATAAATTAAGAGAAACGAATAAGTAGATAATGGTGAAAATACACGAAATAAAATTAAGCTTGTTTATTTAGAGAGAACAAATTTCTATTTAAAGTATTTTCTTTTATGTTTTTTTTTTTTTTTTGAATTATTTTTTTAATTTACTTTTTTTTAGTACCGGTTTCTTTAACACCTCCATCTTCAACTTTTTTTTGAGTTTTTGCAATAGCCAACAAAGTGACTAATTTTTTATGTGAATCTCCTACAATCCATCCATGCTGTTGATATTGTTCCCCAGATAAATCATCTTCTTCATTATTTTCAAGACGACCATATTCTCCGTCACTTGATGATGATGACCAATAATATAACATTTCGGATGCAACACGTTTACGTCGTGGCAAAGGATTACCACTTGAATTTGTTGCTCGAAGTGATTTTTTTTTAGAACTTTTTGAAATTTTACTACCAGATGGAATATTAGAACTACTGACTGGAATTTTATTTGAATTTTTACCACCACCAATGTTTCCAGTATTATTATTACTGTTATTGTTATTTGTATTATTATTATTATTATTATTATTATTATTGTTATTAATATTATTACTATTACTGTTAACTATAGTTGAATTTATTAATTTTTGTGGTTTTAAGTCTTCGACTGTATGTACAGATTTTGATTCAATTGGTGGTGGTTGAGATTTTTTTTTAATATTTGTCAGTGTTATCGGTTTAGTTTCATTTTGTTGTAATAGATCTTCTTTTGTTGCTGCAATTGTTTTACGTCTTTTTTTTATTTTACCTCGACCTTTGAGTTCCGTTTCGAAATCTGATTCTGATTCAGATGACTTTGGCTTTAATGTAGGTTTTAACGTTGGCAATGGTTTTGTACTTTTTTTTGATTGATTTGATTTTTCACTTTGTTCCAGCAAAACAGAAGTAGTTCTATTATTTCCATTTTCATTATCATCTTTAACCTCAATTTCCGGTAATTTTTTTTTTCCTTTAGAAATTTTTTCTTTTTTTTGAGTTTTTTTTCCAGATTGAACTTCAGGATTATTATCTAATTCATGAAGCGATTTTTCGTCATCTGCTGCACTTTTAAGTAATGCAGGTCTTTCGCCACTTCTGGAAATTGAAGATTTTCTGGAAGATGCTTGTGATTCTTTTCTTCTTTTGGATGTTCGTTTTTCTTTTTCCTCAATCAAAGCTATTATATCTTTAGTACTATGAAATTCCTCATATTCATCAGAACTCCAAAGTTCAATATTTTTAGGACGGTTTGAAACACACCTCCTTTGTGATTTCCGTTTTCCATCACTTATAAGTTCAACTATTTCTTCTGCTGACATGCCTAACTCAGTTTGTAACTTTGCGATCTCTCTTGATTGAGCCCTAGATTCACCAATTGGTAAAGGAGTGGTGTCTAATTTAGTTTCTTTTTTTTTTTTTTGTGGAGTTGATGATGTATCAGCTTGGGACCCAGTATTTTTCTTATCTAATTTTTGCTGTTCAGCAAGATTTTTGTTACCATCTTGTTTATTAGATCTTTGTTGTTGTCGTGATCGATTTTTATCAACTGGAGTATTTGTTCTAGATACTGGCCGATCACTATTTGCAACAGCAGCTTTTTTGCTAACATTCAAGGATTTTTTTTGCGATGCTGATGTTGCTTCCTTCTTATTGTCTTTTTTACCTTTTCCTTTTCCGCCGGAACTGGCATTTGCGGCCGCATCATCCTTAGTTGACCTCAATTGATCAAATAATTTGTTCAGTTCTTCTTTAGGTAATTTCGGTTTTCTTCCTCTAATGTTTTTACTGACAGTGTTAAGAGTATTTTTTTCTGCAAGAGTTGCTCGACGTTCCTCTATTACTGGTGTTGCGACTGTGTTGGATGTGATCGCACTGGTAACTTTTTTGAATATTCTTCCCATAATTAATGATTTATTACCCAAAGTCTTCGAAGTTACGGCACTGTCATCACTGCTGCTGTCATCATCGTCGTCCTCGATACCACGATTATTTCGTTTATCTTCCTCGTTGTCTTCATCATCATGTTCACCATCTGTCATTGAAGCATAATTAAAATCATCTCGATCAGAATAACTTGTGGTAGATCCAGTTTCGTCGTCATGTTTGTCAGTTGAATTATGTAGTGATTTTGATATAAGGCTGTCATTTGGTTTTTGGAATTTAATTATTTCCTGGTCATTCAAGCCAATGTCTTTGAAAGGCCGCTCAGGAATAACAATTTGCTTTTGAGGTGGTTTTTCATTTTCTTCTTTATTTTGTAAATCTTTTTTGTTTGTACCAGATTTAAGAATTTGCTCCTGCAGATCTTTATCAGCAGTGTCCTCAGAATCATCAAATTCATAAACATCCTTTTTTGATTTTATAACATGAGAATCCTTCATCGGTTCCCTTTCATTTGCATCGTCATTCAATGCTGGCGATGGTATAGCAGCTTGTTTTACTTTCTTTTGATTTTTAGTGATAACTTTGGTATTATTTTCCTGGACATTGCATTCTTCGTTGTATACTTTCGATGATCTTTTGCCCAATTGCTTTTCGGCTGCTTTAGTTTTTTGTTTAGGGTTACCTTCAGGTGGAGGTAATTTTATGGGTTTTTGGTTTTTCTGAATTGTTTCTAGCTTACCTAACGGTGTAACAGATCTTTTGACACGCTTACTTACCGCTACAGGCTTTTGAGGTACTTCACTATCTTCCGAGTCATTTTTTTCTGCTGTTTCAGTTTTTTTACTATTAACATTTTCTGGGGAAGAAGCTTGATTCGATGTTGTCATGGGAGTTTCATTGCCTAAAAGAGCGATTTCTGCTAGTGCCGTTAGTTTACACCCTGTTCTTGGACTTTGTTGAAGAGCTTGTTGCATATCCAAGCCGACTGTCGGTATTGAAATTTTAAAATTGTCATAGCCTTTCATGGCTGCTTTTGTTTTCAGGCGATAAGCTGTTGTTTGAGTATGATTTGAACCCTGAGAAGATGTTGAATGAGCTGGTGAAGTAAATGCTCTAAAAAGATTGTTTAATTTATAAATGATTCGCACTTTTACCAATTAAAATACTTACTGTGCATGATTAATCGCCGTTGCGTTAACGTCTAAAGTATCTTTACTTGGTTTTGTTCCAGAACTATTTACAAAAGTTCGCGCAGTTAACTGATTGTCCGGATATTGACTTCCTACTGGAATATTACCTGCCACGTCTAAATGATTGTATGGTGAATAGTTATTTCCCCCTGTAACATGATGGCCAGTTGGACGAGGTAAATTGCTTGTATTTCCAACGCCAAAGTTGTGTGGTGGATGTTGAGCTTTTGGAAAAGTTGGATTAGAATCTGATGATATATCACTAAATTGATTTACATCAATTTTCGGATAAGCGGGTTTGGGACTTGATCTAAGATGTGACATAGGAGATTTAACAGAATATGCTGTTGGATTATTATGTAGAAAGTTTGCTCCAGCTTCAGAACCCATATAAGAAAATCGCTCGCTTGATTTTGGCGTGACTGGTTTATTTTGCGCTGTAGGCGTTGCTGGTGCGTCAAAATTAGCATAAGTGGTAGGTGGACAAATTGGATAAGTTCGTTCGACCATTGGGGTTTCAGAACCTTTTAACATATTGCAGCATTCATAAAATAAACGTTCTTCTGGATTTAAAGCTAGTCTAGAGTTTTGCGAAGGGGGATAACGATCATAATTTTGTTCGGGTGAGGAAATTGGTTCAATTCCACTTTGATTTAATAGTAAATTTTTAGTAGGATGGTGAGGATCAGACTTCTTCTCATTTGATTTGGAAATGGGTTTTGGTGTTTCTGTTGAGGTAGATAAAACTTTTGTACGTTCAGTTGCCTTTTCGGTCGTTTTTCTTTCTGGTTCTTCCTCCGAAGTGGAAGAAGCGCTGGATGAAGAATCAGTTGAAGAGTCGGACGTTGAAGATGTCGAAGGTTCTTCATTTTCGGGTTTAACGGAATTAGTTTGATCTGCAACTTGTACTATCGATTCGTCCTCATCTTCAGTTGCGCTTTTAAATCCTGGAATTGACGCTACTGCCTTTTCAATTTCTTCAACGTCTTGTTCAGTAACCCTAGAAGGTAATATTTTATGATCTTTTCCGCGTGATAATCTTTCTGATATTGGTAATGGGGATTTGGTTGGGGTTTCCTGACCTTTTTTACGGGACCCTTCCAACTTGGGATCTTTCACTCCAACTGAGCATTTGTTGGCCTCATCATTTTTTATCAACTTTGTTTCCTCTTCCTTTCTATGCTTTTCTTCTTCTTTTCTACGTTTTTCTTCTTCAATACGCCGTTTCTCTTCTTCTCTTTTCTGCTTTTCTTCCTCTTTTTTAAGTTTTTCTTCTTCTTTCCTACGCCTTTCTAATTCTCTCTTTATGAACTCCTCCTCCTCTTTTCGTTTTTTTTCTTCCATCATTCGTACCTGTTCTTCTTCTTTACGTCTCCTTTCTTCCTTTAATTTGATTTCTTCTTGAAAAAGTCTCAACTTTTCTTCTTCACGCCGCTTTTGTTCTTCTTGTCTATTTCTTTCTTCTTCAAATTTTTTTAATTCTTCGTGACGCTTTCTTTCTTTTCTTTCCTCCTCCTTCTTTTTTTGATCTTCTTCGATTTGTTTTCTTTTTTTTTCATTTTCTTTCTCTTCATTAAGTTTCTTTTCTTCTTCACTCTTTTCGTCGAATTGACCAGATCTTCGACGCATTTCTTCTTCTTGTCTCTTTTTCTTATCATTTAAATATTCGATTTCAGAAACTTTGGAGACGTGAACTAATGTCATTTTGTGTTTTGCCAAAGAGCTAGATTTTTTAAAACTTTTATTACAAATTTCACATTCAAAAATTTCATTAGAAATATCTAAGGCTTGACTTGCTCGGCGTTTTCTTGTCATTAAAATACTGCGGCGCCTCCTTCTTCGACCGAGTTTACCCTTCTGTCGCACGTCCTGTGAAAAACTCGTGTAGACACTACAATCATCATCCAAATCCATATCAATGAGTTCAGTGTTAGTTACATCGTCAAAATCGTTTGTTCTGTCATCATGAAAATTAGGGGCGCTTCTCATACTTAAAGAAGTTGAAGGACGTCTTGGCATTCTATTATGATTAATTAGAAATGATTTAGCTAACTCGAAACCATCATTTTCTGCTTTGAAATCTTCATCATCTGATTCTCGCCGAATTTTGTCTTTAACACTATTTGCTATCTGTGCCAAATAATTATCCTCCTCAGAAGAGTCTTCATTAGCTCCAGCAGGACCAACTCCTTTTAGAGACCCCAATCTTTTTGTAGATTTTGCTTTGTCTTTTGCAAAAGCTGTATTTAATTCTTCACAATCAGATTCTTGATCTTGATTTTGGTCATTTGAAGCAACTGTCTGTAGTTCAAGTTCAGACTTGCGACGTCTGAGTGTACTTAAACGATTAGATGTTTGTTCAGATTCCGAATCTTGATTATTTAATTTATTTTTATTCAAACGGGGATCGCGACTTGAAACAGCTTTTGATGCATTTTGTTCTTGGGTCGGTGCAACCGAAGCCAAAATGCTTGGCCGCAATATCGATTTTTTTGGTTGTTGCATCATTTGCATTTGTTCCTGCTGTTGCGCTATAGAAAGAAAGAAGTTTTCCATATTGGATTTAGTATAATTGCTGGGTTGAGAGTTTTTATCTGCTATGTTGTTTGTTGTAAGAGTAGTTGAATTGTTTGTAGCTGCGATAGCTGAAAACGCCGAAGGTCCTGTTATATTAGTAAAATGCGGCTTTAATGCAAGTTCAGGTTCAGTACTACTAATTGCAATTGGAGGTTGTGTTCCAAACGAAAACGATTTCGTTCCAAAGAGTTTTGGTATAAATTCACCAAAGTGACCTTTACCAAAAGTAAAAGATTCCAAGCCAGTTCTTAGTTCATTTATATTTTCTTCGGGTTTTTTCTCAGATTTTTTATTTTTAGCTGCAGTTGGCAGCGTCTGGTTTTGTTTTTCTGCCTTTTTCTTTATTTTTTTAGAAATGATTTCTGAATCTAAATCGGAAGTATTCGAATTATTTTCTTCCGATAAGTCTGCTTTGTCAGATTTATCTTTGTTTGTTTTGTTTTGCATTGCCGAAAATCCAAAGTCCCTCAGTGAACGGAAGGTGTCAAATGATGGTCGGAATGTCGTCATAGAACCAAATTGGGAACTGTTATATGAATTATTATTATTGTTGTTATTATTGTTATAAGCTTTTCCATCTACATCGCCTTCGTCTTGATCCAAACTTCGTTTGTTAGGTATTTCATCTCCTTTTTCTTTTAATTTCGACTCATCTGGATCATCACCTTTAACTTTCATTTCATTTTTTGATATGTCAGTTGCATCTAAGGCTTCATTAGATTTTTCTTTTTTCTTTTTCAACTTAGTTTCTTTGGTTTTCTTAGAAGATTCGACGGTTTTCTCGTTTTCAGATTCCAGCAGATTTTTATCTGTAATTTTCTTTTTATTTTTGTTTCCATTGTTTTCAGTTGAAATCGCTTTTGAAACAACTTCCCCTGCTTCTGAAGTATTCGGACCTTTAGATAATTTTGCATCCTTTTTGTTCTCCTTTTTGGCACTTACAGAAAATGTTTCTTTATTTTCAGCAGCAATTGCATTTTTTCTCTTTGTTGTAGGTGTCAAACGCATTCCTGTTAAAAGTAAATCTTCACTTTTTTCATATGCTAAATTTTCCAACATTTTCAAGTCATCAATTTTCGATTTATCAACTTCTTTAAAAGATTCTAATAACTGATCAGCAACAATTGCCGCTAATTCGTTTTTTCTTCTTTTACGTTGTTTTTTAGCAGCTGAATCTGGTCGTGTTACGCCTACATTTGATGGATCGCCCAAATTACTCGCCAGTGGTTCTTCAGCAAGTTTTGAAGAACTTTTTTCATTATTGTCTAATACTTTTGATTCTGAGTTTTCAATATTTTGATTTTGCTTTTCATCGCTCTTATTATCCAGTAATATTGGTTCATTATCCTTAATTATCGTTTTGCGTTTTCTGCCTTTTCGATTTCCTTCAACCTTATTTGAGTCGGTGACTTGATTTTGTTCTTTGTTTACATTTATTTGATTACTTTCAAGCCCTGCTATTCTTTTACTGCGTTTTATGGGTACTTCCTCTTCGCTCAATCTCGCCATTTCAGACAATTTTGTTAAGTCTGCATTACTTTTTTCTTTTGGTTTCTTCGAATTTTTTCTAGTTTGGGGCAGATCTAGGCTTGAATTTTGCTTCAAAGATCCAATTTCTTCATCTAATTCAAGATCCCTATATAAATTAAGTTTTTCAATAGCAATGCTCTTTCTTCGCGTCATTCTTCTGAGCGGCATAGGATCTACATTTCTAATTTCTGAATCATCCACACTACAAGCTGGTGTTTTCTCTGGCAAAGATTCTAAATTGATTTCTTTGAAATTTTTATTGAAAAGCTTCGCTTTGATATTTCCCTCGTTAACATTTTTATCAGCTGATTCCAAGTCTTTCATTTTTAAATTAGATTTATTTTTTGCGACAACTTTAATTAGTGGTTCATCACTTTTTTCACTAATTTTATCGGATATATCTTTTTGATCAACAACTTTACATGAATTAAATGCATCTGAGCAATCATTCGTTTTATTTTTACTGGATTTTTTGGTGTGTTTTGATAATAAATCTAAATCATTGAAATCGGTTGATTCATCCTTTTTCAGAGATTTCTTATTTTTTAAATTTTTCAGAAATGCCATATCATTTCCTTTTTCACTCTCATTAATATTGGTGTCTTGTTCCGGCAATGCACTGTCGTTTTGAATATGAACCTTGTTAGAATCATTACCAAAGTTTCTATTAGATTTTGCTAAAGTTTTTGAAAGAGGCTTGTTGTCGTCATCTTCATCATCCGCATCGCTACAGAAACTTGTTAATATATCTGTTTGTACTTTGCGAGTTTGCTTTGGGCTTTGTGAGGATTCTGAGGCAGTCGCTTTTTGACTATCCTCTGAAGCGAGAACTGCAGGAGTTTTAATTCGTGTACTTCGACGTTTTTGTAATGCGCTTAGAGGTAAAGGAAGATCGGTGTCAAAAGATTTTCTTCCAGCTTTGGTCATAGGAAGCTTTAGATGTTGAGCTGACGACAAATCACTTGTACCGTAGTCGGCTAAAATTTTTTGCATATATGTGTCAGCCATTTTAAAAGAATTTTCAATTATTTCAGCATCAGCTTTGGACAAACTACTAGTCTTTTTTTGTCGTTTGGAGGAAGCTATTTTTGGAAATTCTTTTTCGTCTTTAGCACTGCCATCTTCTAAATCCGATTCTTTGGAAATTTTTAGGTTTTCATCAGACTTACATTTGTTTTTATTAGACAAATTTACATCTACATTACTATCGGTTTCTACATGATTTTTTTCTTTATCATTAACAGCCTCCTCTGCTTTTTCCGATTCTTTATGGTCAGTCGATGATTTAATCTTGTTATTAGCTGATTTACTCTTTTGCTTAACTTTTGAGAAACTCTTTTCATTTTCAGATTGCGATGCGTCACTATCAAAATCTTTTAAGCTTTCGATCGAAGATTTTTTGCCATTTTTTGCACTTTTTCCCTCCAAGTTCCTCAAACTAGCTTTTCTAGTGGCATTTCTTTTGGTTTGATTTTTGTTTTTTGACAATTGGATTTCTTCGCAGACACTCAATTCTGTTTCCTTGTCACTTTCTTTTGAGCTAGTAATGTCAGAATCAATTTTCGGTGTTTCATGTCCCGAATCGTTATTAGTCTTACTTTGTGAATCGGCGTCCTTTATCTTAAAATTGTCAATTTCTTTCTCGATAGAATCCCTTTCTGTCTCCTTTTTAGAGCTCTTACTTTTTCTTCCTCTTTTACCCTTCAAAGAAGTTTCAATACTGGATTCAGAACATTCAGATTTTGTATCATCAGAACTTTCCAGGGAATCCTCTAGGGCCTTTATCTGTTTTGGATCCATTTTTCTACTAGCTTTTGTTGGTCGACCTCTTTTCTCTGGTGGAACCTTGAAAAGTTCATCAGTTGCGGCAATTTCATTCACTATTACTGAGTCCTTTTCACTTTCACTTTCTATTTTTGTTTCAGGTTTTGGGGAATTCCTCAAATTTCTACGTGATTTTTCAGGTGTCGAGTTTTTTTCTACATCACTACCAGTTTCTGATGACATATTATCCATCTGAGATTGCTGTTTCTTTTTATTGTTTGCAGCAGTTTTTTTACTACCCTTTGTTTGTATTTGTGAAGATTGATTTTTAATATCTTCAGGCAATTTATCATCTTGTTGCTGTTCTGGTTGCTCTGGTGATTTTTCTCTCATAATTACTTTTGGCGGAGGTAATATAGGTTTTCGACGGAATTTTAGTAAACTTTCGAGACTAGATTTTTTCGAGTCAGATTTTTCATCTGTAAGTGCAAAACTATCTGTTTTAGTTGAAGAAAGGGAATTATCTCCCGAATTATCTCTATTTTCTGAATCCCTTAAAGCATCTGCATGAATACTATTGTCCTCTGAGTTCTCGTTTAAAAATTTTTTGTCATCCATCAGATGATCGTAATTACATGATGACGTGGGATCTTGATTGTCGCTTAAAAAAGATCTCATATCTACATCACAAGTTAAACTTGTACTAATAGTTGCAACGTCTGGAGTTACTTCAATTATAATTTTTTGCTGTTTCTTCATATTTCTTTTTGAACTGAAATTATCTTTTGAAGAATCATTAAATTCTTTGTTTGCTTTCTTTGTCTTTTTTCTGCTCTGTTTTTCATCAACAGCATCCCCTATTTTAATTTTTGAATCGAAACTTGGAGCTACTTCCGATGTTGATATTTCATTCTGTTCTACTTTTGGTGTAGACTTTTTTCTTCCTTTCTTAGATTTTTCACTAGGGATTGTTCCAGAAGCTTTAAGACTATCCGTTGATGTGATTTCCGAATTAGAATTTTCGACCTTCTGCTCAGAAGCGTCTTTTTGTCTATCTGCACTAACTTTTTCCACAATATTTTCAGTCAAAACTTCTTCAATATCAACCATGTTCAAATCTATTTCAAGATTTGGTTTATTTGATGTCGTGTCTGTAGTAATATTTTGTTCAGATTTCTTTTTCTTACTTAAATTTTTCTTTTTTGTTGGATCGTTTTTAAGATCTGATGCTGTTGTGTCTGTAAATTCAGCACTTTTGTCAATAACTCCTGTTGATGTGATTTCAATATTTTGAATATCGTCAATTGCTTTAGAAATGACGTCGGTTCTATTTAGAGATGATGATGGCAATAATGTATCCAACGTCGACTTTTCAGAATTCACTTTTGAAGGTTGTTTATTTTTCTTTAAACATGGTTCAACCGATACTTGAATAACATTTTCGGTAATATTTGATTGAACATTTGGAGAGATTGACGACGCAGCAATAATAGAAGCCGAAGCGTTTAGTAAACCAATTTCAGTTGACTCACTCATGATTGATTTTTCTTTCTCTGAATTAGACTGTACATTTTCATTGAACAAAGCTATACTGGACTCCGATTTATTTCCTAAATTAAATTCCTTTTGCTTTTCCGGTGGTAAATCTAATCCTAAAATAACGGCTGTTATGGCCTCATCTATGCTGTTTGTCGCAATTTTATTGCCAGTATTATACAACTGTTGTGCCTGACTGTTAATAGATAGTATAGTTTGAAGATGTTGTTGTGATTGAAGTTGATGAACGGGGGATTCGTGTGGCCGCTGCGGCGGCGGTTGCGGTTGTTGTGGTATTGATTGTTGTTGCTGTGGTTGTTGTTGTGTTGATTGCTGTTGCTGTGGTTGTTGTTGTGTTGATTGCTGCTGCTGTTGCTGTTGCTGAAGTTGCTGCTGTTGTTGTTGCTGTTGCTGGTGTTGTTGCTGTTGTTGCTGTTGTAGATTTTGATTTGCTTTACTGGCAGATCGCTTTTTCTTAGGTGCTTGATTCACTGTTGGTTGAGGGACAGGCGGAATATTTAACAAAGGCGGTTGGGCAGGATTTGTTGGTATTACTGAAGCAGCTATTGTTTGTGTTGATGTTGGAGCATGGTGGTGCGAAGATTGAAAATTTTGTGGCATGGTTTGCGCTTGTAATTGAGCTTGTAATTGTGATTGAACATTTTTATTATTAGGGCTAGCAGATTCAAGAATTTTTTGTCGAAATAATTCTTCAGCAAAGTTTGGAGGATTTAATAGTGGTAAATTTAAAATCGAAGGAATTTTCAACGGTGAATTTGTTATTGGCAGCGATTGAATTTCGATTGATTTCTTGTTAACAGTTAGTGCTAAAGGCTCTGACTGCTGTGGTGGTAATGAGGCAGATGAGCTTGTAGAAAAACTAGATGGAGAAGGTCCAGCTCTTGGACTTTTACGATTTGGTAGAGGTGAAATGCTAGCAGCAGTAGATTTTTTCGAGAGATCCAAGGGCACGTCAAAGTCCATAAATGATAAAAGCTTTGCTTCTGTTGAACGCTGCTGACTTATAGAAAGATCAATGGCACCACAGCCTTCCGAAGACGTCGTTTGAGCGGACTGTATTGGCATTGGCGGTTGAATCAATGATGGTGGTGGTAAATGAGATGCCGTAGGTAAAGATGACAGCAATAAAGATGATGTACCTGAGCCTGACAAAATTGGCGCTGAAATTCCTGTGGGTGGCAATACTGATGAAGGCATAACAGAAGTTGACATTCCAGGAGAGGTAATACCTGGTGAAGACAACATTGAATTTGACAAAGGTGGAGGCGATATTCCAGGGGGTAATGAAGACGAACCAGCTAACAATGCCGATATTGTAGTAGGAGGCCCTAGCGGTATTGCTAAAGATGGTGATTGTTGAATTATTTGCGGTATTATTGATATGATGGGAGGTGGTTGTGGTGTTGCCTTTTTTTGAGCAGAAGTTAAAACTTTTTTCTTCGGTGATATCATGTTTAAAGAATTCGAAGAAGACGACATTGCGTGATTAAGATTTTGGCTATTGCTGCTCGAAAGTGATAAATTTAACGAAGTACCATATGTAGAAGAATTTGGATTTGTTAAAGTTGCAGTAGGTATTGATGATGTTGATGGTGAAGAGGATGTTAGAATTGGTGATATTATTAAATCGTTTGATAACTTATTTCCCTTTTGTAGGATAATTTCGTTCATATTTTTTACAGGTGCTATTGTTGTCGAATTTGATAACGCATCAGGTACCTTTAATGAGAGTAATTGTGGTGGTGTTGCAGATTGCAATTGTTTTGGATCCACATTTTGTAATTTGTTTGATAAATCTTGAAAACTACTTGGATCCATATTTACTAAGGCCGAAAGCAAAGGTGGCGAGGGCAATAAAACTGGCGAATCCATTAATTTAGATTGCTGCGACGCTAAAATTTCTTTAGCAGTCAAAAGAAGACTTGGTGGCAGAAGTTCAGGAACTGGCACTGGAATCGGAAATGGGGGTAATACTGCTGCAGATGGTGGAAGTGGTGGCAATGTTACACTTGTTGAAATGGATATTTCTCGAGATTTATTACGAGAAGTTTTTCTAGGTTTATATGGTTTTGAATTGCTATTGCTCTTACTGTTATTGCTACTAACAATGTTATTGCTATTACCACTGCTACCAGCATTAGTGTTATTGTTACTATTTTTATTGTTATTATTAATGTTATAGCTATTGTTATCATTATTATTGTTGCTGTTATTACAATTTCCATTATTACTGTTATTATTTTTCACATTACCGCCATTATTGGATTTATTGTTATTATCGTTATTTTTATTGTTGTTATTACTATTATTTATATTATCACCGTCACTATTATTGTTATTATTACTATTATTATTATTATTATTATTATTATTATTATTATTATTATCATTATTTTCATTATTATTATTACTATTATTATTACTGTTATTGTTATTATTGTTGTTATTATTATTATTATTATTATTATTATTATTATTATTATTATTATTATTATTATTATTATTATTATTGTTATTGTTACTGTTATTGTTATTATTACTATTATTGTTACTATTATTATTTCCATTATTGTTGTTATCGTTGTGACTGTTGTTATTATTATTGCCACTGCTATCGCTATTGCTGTTGCTATTATGATTGCCGTTATTGCTGCTACTCTGATTATTATTGTTATTACAATTATTATTTCCATTACAGTTATTGGTTTTGTTGTTATTGGGTCTATCATTTTCATTATTACCACCATTTTTGTTGTTGTTTGTGTTACTATTATGGTCATTGTTGTTGTTATTATTGTTGTAATGATTATCTTTACTATTATTACCGTAACCACTACTATAGCAATTGTTTTTATTATGATTGTTTAAATCATCATATTTGCTGTTATGAGTTTTAGTACCATTACTATGGTTGCTGCCACACTCATTGTTATTGTCGAAATCATTTCCAATACCGAAGTTGTCATTATTTTTGTTATTGAAACTATAGTTTTTATTACTACCATTTGTTTTCTCTTTACTTTTATTATTGTTACTGGTATTGTTATTGTTGCCACTGTTATTATTATTACTGTTATTATTATTGTTATTGTTGTTGTTATCATTATTCATTGTATCACTCATGTTGCTACTGACAGATGCTGGAAGCGTCATTGTTGCAACTGTAAAAGACTCGAAAGTTAAGTTTTGGTTTGACTTTTCTTTGTGTAAGTTCGTTGACAAATCTGAGTTATCAATTTTCACTCCCGTCGAAATTGGATTATGTAAAGTTTTTTCAATATCTTTCGACATCTCCTTTATATTTTCTAAACTTTTCGATATTTCAAAAACAACCTCGTTGACTTTCAAATTTTCCACCTCTTTAAGTTTATTTTTCTCTAATTCTAATTTACTTTTTTCGTCTATCAAAGATTCCATTTCAACTTTGTCGTTATTATACGTGATTTCTTCCACATTTTTGTGAGTTTTGTTTGATTTCCTAGAATGTGTTTTTCGTTTTGTCAAAAGGGTATTAGAGTTCAACATTTTTGAACCAACATCAATGTTTGGTAGAATATCGTTACCAATTGAATTGAAACTTGAACTAGTTATCACAGCATTTGTATTAGAAGTTGAAGGTCTTATAGGTAAATCATTATCTGGCTTCACTAAACTAGCTATATCAAAACCCATCTTCGGTTTTGAAACAGGAATTGGGCGTACTGGGATGTTTGGTTCGTACTGAACTAGAGGAACAAAGTTTTCCAAATTGGATGTACCAGGATTTACTTCTACAGTTTTACTGCTTTCTGTATTTGATTCGGCTTCTCCTGGTAGGGTATCTTTTGCTGCTTGAATTTTTTCCTGAAGTTTTCCAGTTAACATAGCTATGCAATCATTTAATTTTTTTCCACGGCGTTTTGTGGTTGGACTAATTTGTAAATTATTTCCGTTATCAGAATGTGCATCGACACAAGTAGTGTGTTGGCTATTTTCCGTTGATAAAGCTTCATTTAATTGCTTGGTATTTATTTCTTCAACTTGCTCAACTTTAATTTCAACTGGATCGTTTTGTATGGCACTTTCTATATCTATTTTATCATTAAGATTTTCAGAAGAGTTTTTTGCCTTCATATCGCTATTACTTTTATTTGATGGTTTATTCGACAGAATCATAGTTGTCTTTTTACTTTTCCCCGAAATACCAAAGAAATTTTTTATAGCTTTTCTTTTTTTCGATTTGAGACCTTGTTTTATACTATCCTCTTCACTTGTGTTATCACTATTATTTTCTTCTAAAATTTTTTCATCTTTGTCATCATTAGAACTGTCGGAAGAGCCATCTACTTGTTCTTCAGCTATGCTTTCCGAAATAATTTCCTTGCTTTTGACTATTTTCTTTATACTTGATTCTTCCTCAATATCCTTTTTGTCTGTTTCTTCTAATTTTGTATCACTTTTACGACGGAAACTTAACTTTTTCAGAATACTTTTTGCTTTTGAAACTTTCTTATCAGCTTTCACTTCGTTTTTCTTAATAGAGTCTTTTGTAGGTGAAGTAGACTTTCGATTATCCAATCCACGAAGTGGCGAAATTCCACTACTTCTTGTTATTTTCTTCTTTAATATGAAACCTTTCTTTTTATTTTGAAGTTTTTGAGTTATTTTTTTAACAAAGTTTTGAGTTTTATTACCCAAATTATTACTCTTTCGCTTATCACTACTTAAATTATCTTCTTTAAGTTCATCTTCAAATTCTTTACCCTTTGAGTCAGATTTCTTCTTTTCATTGATTGTTTTCAGCTCTTTATCAGAACTCGGTTTCTTGTTTGTTGAAAAATGATTGTTTGAGGATTTATTTCGTTCTTTTGAATCTTCGTTATTTGCTTTGGTAGGAGTTTTCTTAGGTCTGCCTCTATTTTGTGTTTGTTCTTGTTTTTGTCTCTGTTGTTGTCGTAGATGCCTTGTTATCATTTGCTTTTTATGATTTCTTAGTATATTTTTTGTTATAGCTGCAACTGACGTAGTTGCCATAATCTTTTTACCATTGCGAAGCTTTTGTGCTACGTTTGTGTTAATTAAATGGCGTTGACCACCTTTTTTGACTAGTATTGATTTTTTTATAACACCTATTTTTGAATTATTATGTTTGAACTTGTGACGAGGTTTCGTTAGATCGGGAAATATTTGACGGCATGCTCGTTTTGCTGGCAAATTTTCCAACATTCGAGCTATAGATTCAGCTAAAATTAAAAATTAATAAAATATTAATATACGTATCTTAAACAAAAATTTTTTACAAAGCTTACCATCACTCGGTCTAGGTGGTCTAGGTGTGTTAGGATTATATACAGTTTTACGTTTAGTAGCACTGCCACCGTCTTCACTTTTATTCCCAGAAGTTTTCTTTCTTCGTTCGCAAGCAAAATAATGATTTTTGGTTGAACGTCTTCTTTTTGAACCATAATATCGATATTTTCGTTTTTTAGCTAACATCCAGAAATAATCACCAGAACAATCCAACATATGCCTGTATAACTCTAACATACCATTACATTCCCGTTTGCATTTCGAACAATGCTTCAATGACTGAACAGGCGTACAAGTGTTGCTCTCTTCATTTATCAAAGTATCACTATTGACAGCTGCGCCTACTTTGTTATCAATATTATTAACACAAACATTTCTGTTATCATTAGTTATGCTAATTCCACCGCTGGGGTTTTGATTACAAAGAAGAGCGGATGAAGTAGATGATCTAGTTGAAATATAACTCGACGAGGTCGTTGACGTTAATTTAGAATCAGTATCACAATCACTTTTACTAGTTGACGTTATATAACTGCTTTTGGAATTAGAATTAATACTATCCATTGATTCATCTTCGGCAGCAACAGCGGCAGAAGTGGCAGCCGTTACATGACCAGCATGATGATTTTGCACAGCCCCAATATTATTCAAATTAGAATCAACAATTTCATCGTTCGAAGAGGAATTTTGTAATTTTCTAAATACTATTTTTGATGAAGAAATTCTATACTGACGATGTCGCATTAATGCTTTTGTAGGAATATAAAAATGTTTGTATAGATCACCTTCGATTAATTCACGACCGACTATTTCGTAATGAGTTGAATAGACATATGGATGCCGAAAAATTTTATGTTCTTCTAAGGTTTTCAAATGGTCGAATTTTGCTCCACATCCATAGCATATGTAACAACGTGGACGGGCCCATTCTCCACTTAAGATAATGTCTTGCTTTTTTGAATAATTCGATGGATCAACACGTCGTAAATTTAGAAAATATGGGAAAACATTTTGATTGTTTTCAATCATTTCTCTATTATCTTTATTTAATTCATGACAATAAGTTAAAGTATTGAAAGTGACTGTGTTTGTGGTAACCGTTGTACTTGCTGTTGTTATTGCCGAATAATATGAGCACGCTGAAGATTCATCGGGTACCTCAAATTTAATTATAGTTTGTTCAGTTTGTTCTAATATAATTTGCGGAAGACGTCGCATATCCAATATTGTATTCAATTGGTCAATTTGCTTACGTTTCTCTTCACGTATTACTTCACCTACACTTAAATTTTGAATGGCATTCTCATTTTCCCTTCTTTGAATTATTTCATGTTTTGTTCTCATTGTTAATTGTGTCCACATATCCAATTTGGAAAGATCACGTAAACCTGTCAAGGGTTGTTTTACCTTTTTCACAATTTTCCCTCCTTCATTAACATATTTATATTTTTTCAAACTATCCCATTTCCATTTCCAGGAATGTTTTGTAAATGGTCTTCTCATTTTTGATGATCCGTTATAATCACTTCCGTATTGTTCAGCCGTCAATAATGTTGGGAATGCTGTTAATGTGGACAAAGTTGTTGCTTCATGAATTTCAGAATCAGCATTTAAAGGACTCTTAACAACAGTACTACGAATAGCAGGTACTGCAGTCACTGGACTTATTGGGCTTGGACTCGTTGGTCCGCTATCTAGTTTTCCATCCAAATGACAGCAAAGATTTTTTCTTACATTTAAGCTAACTGTTTCATAAAAATCATCATCAAAAGTACATGAAAGTGGTTCAGTTCGAATTGCAGTAGGAGGTCGTTGTGCTAAATTATTTGATTGACTTTGGTCATTTGATAAACTATTTAATAATGAAGATTCGTCAGGCGTTAATTTACAAAAACCCACTTTACTCCTTGTTTTTACTACACTATTAGACGAAGATGCTGTAGACATTGGAGTTCCATCTTTGCTATTCGATTCAATGTGATTTTGTCGTGCACTGACACGACTTCTAACAGTACATTTACGTCCTCTAGGTAATCGATTTAATCTAGTGACGATTGTTTCATCTCCGCCACGATTTATAGCCGTTGTCGCAGCAGCAGCTGCAGCAGATCGTGTTAATAAACTTGAGGTAACTGAAACAACTGATGTTGATGAGGCAGCAGCAGCTCGTATATTTTCAAAAGCTTGATGTTTTAATTGGCGCCGTGTTAATTTTTGCTCATAATTTGGATCTATTATCAATGAAGTACTACTATCATAATTATTACCTGTGTTAATTTTCAAAGGTTTAGTTATATTCGAATCTAATTCATCGAATTTTTCAACGACACCACTTAATACAGAACGTTTTAATCCAATTTTAATAGAAACTGCACAATTATTTATTGTATTGGTAATATTATCACTTTCACTGTCAATTATTTGACTGGCGTTGCCAGTATTAATTGAATTTGCACCTATATTACTTGATGATAATGCACAAGTTGATGATGGAATAGATGACACCATTAAAAGTTTTGTATCCTCTTTATGAAACTGCTCATTATGTTCTTTTAAGTCGGTTAAATTTTGAAACCGTATTGCACAATATTTACATGCGAAATATTTATCGGAATGATATTCGCACATATGATTAAATAAATTTTTGAGATCATTTGCCGAGCTTTGATCTGAAATAGTAGCAGGTCTATCAGTTAAAGTAGCATCGATATTAGTACTACTATTGTCATTATTATTATTATTATTACTATTACTATTTTTATTTGAACCATATTTATTATTATTAATATTATTTGTTTGACTTTGCTGTTTAACAGTTTTACAGCAATATGAACAACCAGAATGAAAAGGTTTTATTAAATTATTTGTATCATTATCATTATTGTTATTGCTATTATTGGACAAATTTGTTAAATTTGTTAATGAAGTTGATAATGTTGAACGAGATGATATTCGGCGTGTTTTAGCAATTGATGTTCCTTGAATTGTGTGAACACGTTCAGTATGAATAATCCGAATTTTTTGACTTGAAAATTTTTTATCACAATATAGACAAAGTGATTTTTGTTGCTGTTGCAGCTGTTGTTGTTGTGATTGCTGTATTTGTTGATTATTTTCTAATGATAGAATTGACGATGATGCTCCTGGTAAACTTATTGAACTACTATTACTACTAATTATTGAAGATTCTTTTTCATCATCTAGATCATCATCACCATTTCCTATACAAATGAAAATACATAATATGCATATAATTTTATGTACTTATGTATTGTTTTTATAATTAGTAAAACAAAAACAAACTTACCAAAACTTTTATATTTAGAAACTAAAGTTGCTAATATACCGCTTGAAATACGTTCAAGTGGAACACTGCATGTTAATTTTGTTGAAAAATCTAAAGATTTTTCATCATCAACAACATCATCATTAATTTTAAGATCATTACTCTTAAAACATTTTAAATCTAAATCATCATCGTTATCATCAATAATATTATTACCAACTTCACTTATAATATCATCATCATTTTGATTATCAGATTTAATTGGTTGAAAAATACTATCCATTGACTGACATTTTTTCAAATTATTACTTTCATTATCTTTTTTACGATTTATTCTACTATTACTTGAGCTACGATTCGAATATTGTGAATTATCTGTTGTTGATTTATTAATTGTTGATAATTTTCTTGTATTAATCTTTTTTGGTGTAATTGATTTTGATTTTTTATTACATTCTTGATTTAATAAAAAATTTTTACTGCTATTATTATTATTACTATTATTACAATTGCTGTTATTATTATTATTATATGTTGCTGAATTATCTAAACTATGACTTCTTAAACCAGAACGTGTACTAGATGGTGTAATACTTGATAATATTGAAGAGCAATTAGATGAGGTTTCAGAAAAATGTGCATCTGAATTTATATCTAAATCAACTGATAAACGATTTCTTCTATTACGTATTGGTGGTGTTGGAGTACATTGTCTTAAGGCTAATGATGCTTTTTTATTGTTATTATTATTACTATTGTTATTATTTGCTGTTGTTGATATTAATGATGGTGAAATCGTATTTGATATCGATGATGATGATGATGTCGATGAGGATGGAGTTGGGGTGGGCGGATTAGAATGAACGACACTACGACTTCGCCCTCTAGCCGTAGGTGTTATTCTTAAATTGGCATCATTTGGAGTTATCGGTGGTGATAATGCTTTTTGAATTGAACGTGTTATTTGTGCTTTTTCAGTATTAACTGAATTTAATAAAGAGTTTTTTGTTGCACCAATTGCACCTCCTCTTACATTTTTATTATTTTGTATGATTGTTGTTATTGTTGATGATGTTGAAGTTGTTGCAGAAGTTTTTGTGTTATTATCATCTGATAGTAGAGATTTACGAGTTAGTGGTGGTGAAGTATTTTTATTATTTGCTTGTGTTGATTCCTTTTTTAAATCACATTTTTTATCAATTTTATTATCATTTCCTGTTTTTGAATTTACTGATGTTGGGGCTAAATGTATTGATGAGCCACTACGGTGGACCATTTTATTCTAAAATGAAAAAAAAAACACAAATTATAATTAAAATTAATTATTTTAAATTAAGTAATAAATTTGCAAAATAAAAACGCTATTGGTTTGTGATCTACTTATAGTACTTTTGCATTTTAAAAACATTCAATATATTTTTTTCTAAATGGTTCAAATCCATTTTTCCCATCCAATTCAGCTAAATACGTAAGAATGGAGATATTACAAGGAATGGTGTTAAAAGGGAATAAACTCGTATGAATAACACTTAAATAAAATTAAAAAAAAAGCCTTTTCTTTTTGAGGTCAATGACATTTTCTACAATAATTTTAAAAAATATGCTGACCAAAACGCAATACCAGTATGTTTGTATTTAGGTTTATACAAAATAAAAATCCTGCAATAATTTTCACTCTTTCTTTTTTCAACAAATTACGAATTTTTATTTTTCTTTCTTTTTATTATAGAAATTTCAAAATTTCTTTTCGTGTTTAATAAAATTTGAAAATTAAACTATACTACCTGTGAGTTATTACCTTTAGAACGACATGATGTTGAAACCTTAAAAAAAACAACGCTTCATACTTATACACAAATATAAATACGCAATTAAATGAGCATATTATCAATAATATGTAAGTTTGTTTATACCAAAATTTTATAAAATCTTATGCCCATATATGTATGTGGGTATAGGATTATTTAAACGTACGTTACCTTACGTTGTATGGTAGCAAATATTAAATATTTATATATGTATATATACTTAAATTATGTAGAAACAAATACCAAAATTTCATGGCAAACAAAAATCAGAGCTACACAACAACTCATTACATTGTTGTATTATTAATTATAGAATTTTTATACAGCAACAAAGTAGCAACAGAATGAGAAAAACAAAATGAGTGAAGAGGGTAACAGAAAATGATTAACAATTTTATAAAAATAATTTTTAGTCGCTTTTTGACTAAAGAATATGAGCTCACTAAATCTGGTTTTATGCATTTAAAATATTATACTCAATTGCAATGCTTAATACTTACATTTTAATAAATTCTTACTCTTCTTTTAATTTTTAAATTGCAATTTCTCATTTTTATTAATATTGGTCTGGAATGCGCTGGTTCGTATTTTTCGGGATTTTTAAAAAAAAGTTTTTTTCACTTGAAAATTAAAATATTATACTGATTCTGACACTTAGTTGCGTTCTTCTCGCCTGGTCAAATGAAAAAGTTAAACAACAACAGGGCCCTGAGTCCCTGAATAAATTTTTACTATCATATAAATTGCATTTTCATATATTAATCAAAGATAATGAATTATAAATGTTTGTAGCAAAAGATTTGTATCGCAAGCATTAGTAGCGTTGCGATAATTATGAGTGGCGACTGAGTGACACTTTGAGTAAATTTGTAAAAAACTGGTTAAATGATGAAAATTTAGAAAATATGCAAATAATTTTTAATAAATAAAACAATTAAAATGTATAAATTAATTTTTTTCTTAATTAGAAAAATAAAACAAAAATATACACTTATAAATATTTTTTATTCCCCTTAAGTACCCTATAATAGAAAAAAAAATCTGGAAAAAAAAGAAGAGAAATCAAGAACAAATTGCTGCAATAAATTTTTTTGGATTTTGCTCTTGTAATTCAATTACATTTTGTTTATTATCTATTCGTTTTGGTGTTGCTTTGTCTGTCATCTCAGATTATTTAACGCGTCATTTGCCGTCGCGTTGCTATTTTTATTATCAATTTCTGTTTAGTTTTAACTGCTTGTGTGTTTTTATTTTTGTTTTGTTTTTTGGTTGATAATGTCTCTTTACTCTGTTAGATTCATCTTACGTCATTATTAAAAAACTTCAATTTATTTTTTTTTTTACTCAAAACTCAATAAGTATATGAGTTTTTTTTTATGTGTTTTGTTTTTTATTATTATGCATTAAGGTTGAAATTATGTTAATTTTATTCCAAAATTTTAATGTTAATGTTAAATTCAAATGAAAAAGAATTCGTGTATATAGAAGCGACAACAAAAGTGGAGGTGTGATAGTTAACAATACATACACTTATAAATGTATGTAAGTATTAAGTGTGGCATTCTACATGCATGCAAAAATACTTCAGGCGCTTAGTACTTAATAATTGGCTTTTAGTATAAAGCAATAGATTATTGAATTTTGCAAAATATTAAAAATAATCAAGTATTTGCATAAAATTTTGATCAAATGTTTTAATACTTTTAAAATTACTATTTCTACTTAATAAATGTATTTTTTCCTTTAATTTTTTTATAAATTTTATTCGCAACATTAAATATTTTATACTTAACCCTTATCAAGAGCAAATTAATTCCAAATATACTAGGTAGTTACACCTAGTATCTGAAAAATGAAATAGGTTAAGTATTAACATAAAAATATTTGAATATTTTTTATTTAGTTTCTGGGGATAGACGGCGAGTGACAAAATCTCGAAAAAATTTTTTTTTGTTTCAATCGGAAAATTAATGACTAACAACGACGTTCAGGAAGGGAAAAAAATTCAGTAAACAATTTTTTAAAAATAAAATTTATCTGTGCAAGTTGTGCTTAATTTTATTAAAAAAATATAAAAAAAAAAACATTTTATTTTTATTAATAATTTCTTAAATTCATACTTTGTAGAAAATCTTTCTTTATAACCGTACCGTTTCGTAGGGCACTTTGCTTTAAAATTAAAACATGTAAGTTTAATTTGGTAGTGCATAATTTTTTAAAAATTTTCTAAATAGCTCAGCAATGAACGGAAAATCGCTTGATATTTGTCTTTAAATTCATGATATTCATACATATATCTAATTATATTAAAATTGTTGGGAACCTACGGGAAAACCATATCCTACCCCCAGAAATATCGTGATTTTCTAGAACATATTACGTATGTTAAATTACACAGGAACCAAAATATTTCAAAAGGAGAATCTTTCGAATATAGTCGGGTTTTCGCCTCAAAATATTATCCATTACATAACTTGAGTCTATTATGAAAAAATCAGTTTTGAACCTAGCATCCAAAACTTTTCAACTCAAAAAGAAAGAAAATTGCTTTATATAGAAAATGCGAAATCCTACTTTCCAATATGGTTTACAAAATTTGAGAAAAAAAATTCCAGTCTTTATAAAAACAATAGGCATACATACTCATATTAAAATAATAGCGACTTTTATTATTTTGAAAACAAGAGTATTCTTCAATTTTATACTTGCTGTAAATTTTTAAATTTTTTAAATTTTAAATACGTACATAATTTATAAATTAACATTCCTATTTTTAAATCACATACTGTAATTATACGAGTAATGTGACATTTAAATTGATTCACAATATTTTTAATAATTTAGTATTGACAATTAAGTTATATGATATGTAATTACGTCATAATGAACACATTAAAATTATTGCAGTTTATATACTGCTAATTCTCTCTCTCTCTCTCTCTTTGTATGTTATTTTTCATGCTAATGCTTATATGAAGGTCTTTGATGTCGAAACATTGATTGCCTTGCCATTAATATTGGATATTATAATTATTATTGTTATTGTCATTATTATTGCTTATTCGCTACACACAATATTATTGTTAAAACATACTTATATAGGGTTTTTGTGATATTATAAAATTAATACAAAACATAAAAAAGAAAAAAATGGAAAATTGTATTTAATAAAATTTAACAAATTGGAATATTAAAAAAAAATTTTTGTCATAAGTATTTAAAAAATGTAAAATCCAAAAAAAAAAATAAGAGAATTTTGTAAAAAAAAAAAAGAAAAATCAATCTAAAAAACAAAATTATATGAGCAATAAATAAGAATATGTGAATTGTGAACACCAATTTTAATTTAAAAAATATTATTAAGTAATGAAATGAGTTTGTAATTGAATATAATAAAAAATTAAATAAGTAACTATGTATTAAGTAAGTTCTAGAATTAAATGAAATCGGCAATTAATAAGACAACACAAAGCGATTTCTAGGACGATATTGATGACAACGTTTGTACAGGAACAGTCTAAGTTTTTTCTAATCCATTTTTAAAATTGCAAAACGGGCCTTGAAATTGTCGCACTGAGTTGAAGCTCTTACATTTTTAACTACTTCACGACTCTTCAAAAAAGTTGTTGTTACATATTGGAAAAAATTTCAGAAAGGTCAACAAATTCACATCATGGTCAAATCTACAAGTATATAACAAACAAATTATTTTTAAATTTTAAACGGATGAGAAACTTAAAAAAATTACTCAAACATTGTATACAAAAAATGAATACATATATGTATATGTACAATTATGTATGTATTTACGATATATAAACATGTGATTACATGTATGGGCACATTTATATATATACATATATTTTTGAAGGACGCCAAAAAAACACTACGCTTTTTAGTTATCTCATCGCAGGTTCAAAAATTTTTTATCAACATTGGATTATCAAAAAAAAAAAAAAATATTAATAATGAAGAGCTTATTTTGGTTTAATATTATTAAGTAAGTAAGTAATTATTAGGAAAATACTCAAAATATTTTGAAAATTTAAAAAAAAAAATTAAATGACAATAGATATTTGACAATTGATTAAACCATTTGAAAATATTTGAAAATATAATTGAAGAGGTAAGTGGACAAAGGGGTTAACTAACATTTTGACGAAAATCGAGCTCCTCGGATAGAACATCATTAAATTTCATATATTTTCAACTGCGATTACTATTATTGCTAGAAAACTTAATAGAAAACGAGAGTAACAGTGTATATAGGAGTTAAGTAATAAAAAAAATAATATTTTTACAATTTGTTAATGAAAAAAAAGTGTTAAGATGCAAAAGTTAACCCCCTTGTCCACTTACCGCTTTAAATATAATAAGAACTGACAATAGACAAAATCTCAATACAAAACGTTTAAAAATAGAATAAATATGGAACAAATTAACATTACTCATAGTACCTATTTGACGTGAATTC